TGTCCATCGACAGATGAATGGATAAAGAAGATGTGGTATATACAGAGAATGGAATATTACTCAGCCATCAAAAAAAATGAAATCCTTCCATTTGCAACAACATGGATGGAACTAGAAGGTATTACACTGAATGAAGTAAGTCAATCAGAGAAAGAAAATTATATGATCTCACTCATATGTGGAATTTGAGAAACAAAACAGAGGAGCATAGGGGAAGGGAGGGAAAAATAAAACAAGACACAATCAGAGAGGGAGACAAACCATAAGAGACTCTTAACTATAGGAAACAAACTGTTGCTGGAGTGGAGGAGGGTGGGAGAGATGGGGTGGTTGGGGAGGGTATGTGCTATGGTGAGTGCTATGAATTGTGTAAGGCTGATGAATCACTGAACTCTACCTGTGAAACTAATAATACACTATATGTTAATTAATTGAATTTAAATTTTAAAAATTTTAATTAAAAAAAACACAGCATTGAACCATATCCTTTTCTCCAGTCTCCTCTGTAAGAATTATTTTGTATTTTCATCTTGATGATGATCAAAAAAAATTAGCTCATATTTAATGATAAATACTGCTAAGAGTTTTTCAATGTCCAAGTTTGTATTTAGTGGGCTAATAGGAAGAGAGGAAGACTTAAAATGTAAATCATGTATAAGTACAGTAAAATGCTAATTGCAGAACCTAAGTGATGGGCATACACATATTCACTATGCTGTCAAATTTTTTAAACACTGCTGCCTGGCTTTAAGATTGTCATAACAAAATGGTGAGGAGAAATATGAATCAGGCATCTGTACCAGATGAAGATAAATGATGTCACAATATGCCAAAGGGAAGCTTCCTAGTCAAACAGAAAAAGTGGTAGAGAGAAGTATATCATCACCCCACTGGCAAACCCCATAGGCATGCCAAACCCCCAAAACCTTAATTAACTTTACACTCACCTTAAAAGACACAATCCAGTTTCAAAGAAAAAGCCTCAGCTATATTGTTAATGTGAATATTATTAGTTTTGTAGATTTGTTTGCATTTAATTTGTAAATCTGTTTTAATTTTGAATTCCTATAAGCACAAAGAGTTTAAATTGTTTTTTATCTGTACTTATTCCAGTTGCATTATTTAAAAAGTAATCAAGATGCAAGGGACCTTGAATAGACCAAAACAAACAAAAAACAAAACCTTAAAAAAAGAACAAAGTTGGAGGACACACATTACCAAATTTCAAAACTTACTATAAAACTACAGTCATCAAGACAGCGGGGGAGCGCCTGGGTGGCTCAGTTGTTAAGCGTCTGCCTTTGGCTCAGGTCATGATCCCAGGGTCCTGGGATTGAGCCCTGCATCAGGCTCCCGTCTCTGCGGGAAGCCTGCTTCTCCCTCTCCCACTCCCCCTGCTTGTGTTCCCTCTCTCGCTGTCTCTCTCTCCATCAAATAAATAAATAAAATCTTTAAAAAAAAAAAAAAAAGACAGCGTGGTACTGGCATAAGGATAGACATATAGACCAATGGAACAGAATTGGGAGTCCAGAAATAAGCCTAAATACCTATGGCCAGTTGATTTTCAACAAGAATGCCAACATCATTCAATGGGAAAAGAACAGTCTTTTCAACAAGTGTTGCTAAGACAACTGGATATCCACATGTAAAAGAATGAAGTTAGACCCCTACCTCACACCATATATTAAAATTAACTCAAAATAGGGGTGCCTGGATCGCTCAGTTGGTTAAGTGTCCGACTATTGGTTTCGGCTCAGGTCACAATTTCATGGGTTGTGAGCTCGAGCCCCACATCAGGCTCTGTGCTCAGCAGGGAGTCTGCCTGAAGAGTCTCTTCTCCCTCTGCCCCTCCCCCGAATCCTGTTCTCTCTTTTTCTAAAATAAATAAATTTTTTTTAAAAATCAACTCAAGGGGCACCTGGGTGGCTCAGTCATTAAGCGTCTGCCTTCGACTCAGGTCATGATCCCAGGGTCCTGGGATCGAGCCCCGCATCGGGCTCCCTGCTCTGCGGGAAGCCTGCTTCTCCCTCTCCCACTCCCCCTGCTTGTGTTCCCCCTCTGCTGTGTCTCTCTCTGTCAAATAAATAAAAAAAAAATTAAAAAATTAAAAATTAAAAATAAATAAAAATAAAAATAAACTCAAAATAGACCAAAAACCAAAATGTAAGAGCTAAAATTATAAAATTCTAAGAAACCACAGGTTTAAATTTTGTGATCTTGGATTAGTCAAGGATTTCTTATGTATGACACCCAAAGTACAAGCAGCCAAAGGAAAAATAGATAAATCAGACTTCATCAAAAGAAGAAACTTTTGTGCATCAAAGGACACCATCAAGATAGTGAAAAGACAACCTACAGGATGGGAGAAAATATCTGCAAATCATATATCTGATATGCGTCTAGTAAGTAAAATATATAAAGAATCCTTAGAACTCAACAAAAACAAAACCCAATATAAAAAAAAAAAAATGGGTAGATGACAAATAGCCAAAGCAACCTGAAAAAGAAAAACAAAACTGGAGGCATCACAATTCTGGACTTTAAGCTCTATTACAAAGCTGTAGTCAGTCACCAAGACAGTATGGTACTGGCACAAAAAACAGACACACTAGAACAGAATAGAAAACCCAGAAATGGACCCACAACTCTATGGCCAACTCATCCTTGAAAAGCAGAAAAGAATATCCAATGGAAAAGACAGTCTCTTCAACAAACGGTGTTGGGAAAACTGTACAGCAACATGCAGAAGAATGAAATTGGACTGCTTTCTTACACCATACACAAAAATAAATTCAAAATGGATGAAAGACCTAAATGTCAGACAGGAATCTATCAAAATCTTAGAGGAGAACACAGGCAGCAAACTCTTAGATCTTGGCCATAGCAACTTCTTACTGGACACGTCATCGGAGGCAAGGGAAACAAAAGCAAAAATGAGCTACTGGGCCTTCATCAAGATAAAAAGCTTCTGCACAGCAAAGGAAACAATCAACAAACTAAAAGCAACCTATAGAATGGGAGAAGATATTTGCAAACAACATATCCAATAAAGGTTTAGTATCCAAAATCTATAAAGAACTTATCAAACTCAACACCCAAAAAACAAAAAATCCAGTCAAGAAATGGATAGAAGACATGAACAGACATTTCTCCAAAGACGACACAGAAACGGCTCTCTCTCTCTCTCTCTTCCTAAAATAAATAAATAAATCTTTAAAAAATAAAAAATAAATGAACCCACTGGAGTATATACTTTGAAAGAGTAAATTTTATGGTAAATCAATTATATCTCAATTTAAAAAATAACAAAATAACAAAAGAAAAAGTCAACTCTGGGAGTCCATTAACAGAAAAATCCAGAAAGTTGACCTAGGCAGTAAGTTCATGAACTATTCAGTCTTTCTTTGTATTTGCCTAACGGCAGAAAAATGTTTCAATCTCCCCTTATCTAAATAACAAAATCTGCTACATCTAAAATAAGTTCCAGAATTTGGTCACCAGGCTACAAAGTACAACACACTCTGATTTCTCAAAGAATCCATAAAGGCATCCAAGGGGAAGTTTGGGATGCTTTGCAAACTATTTCCTTAAGACTCATTTCTGAGACCAAATCCTATGTGTGGATTTTTAAATCTCACCCTCTATGATATTTCTAGTGTGGCAATATACAAATCAGTCACCTTCATAAGTGAGCACATGGCACACAAGAATACTACCATTATCATCACATTTGTTTAAAGTTTATTGAGATTCTCACTGTGAATTAGCACAATTTTAAACAGACTACATCAAAAAAGGCTAGACAAAATGCCCTACACATCCAAGCTGTCAGCTCTTCTCGTTTATTCACTCACATGTCAACAATATGAACCCATATGCGACAGACACAGCGAACATGGCAGTTAAAAAACAGACCTGGGGGGCACCTGGGTGGCTTAGTCGGTAAAGTGTCTACCTTCAGCTCGGGTCGTGATCCCAGGGTCCTGAGATCGAGTCCTGCGTTGAGTTCCCTGCTCAGCGGGGAGTCTCCTTCTCCCTCTCCCTCTGCCCCTACTCCTGCTCGTGCTGTCTCTCTCTCTCTCAAATAAATAAATAAAATCTTAAAATAAATAAATAAATAAATAAAATAAAAACAGAAAAACAGACCTGGCACCAGCCTCACTGCAAAATCCACAATCCCAAGCAGAGAAGCTGTGAGCAAGTCATAACAACACAGCCCAGTGACTGGTACAGTAGGAGAAGTGGAGGCTGCTATGGGGGCATAAAACAGAAGAACCACTCCGGGGGCCTAGGAAAGTGCCCCTAGAGTGAGAGATACTCAAGTTCAAACCTAAAGGACAGGCAGGTCATCAGTCTGATGAAAATGAGGAAGAAGACTTCCAGACCATGGAAAGTATTTGCAGCCCCCGCAAAAAATTGAAAGAGCAATGCTCATTCTAAAAACTAAAAGGGGAAAAAAAAAAACAACAACCTAGAGATGGAAAGAGTAGTCACGTGCCAGAGGGTCGTGAAAGACATTTAAGGGGTTTGGGCTTTATCCGAAGGGAAATGGGAAATCACTAACAATCAGGTTGTGGGGCAGCAAGACTAGAGGCAAGGAAACCCAACAGGGGCCCGTTTCCAGGATCCAAGGGAGAGATGACAGTAAGCTGGTATGCGGGGGGCGGCGGGGGGTGGGCAGAGGAGATGGAAAAGTAGGCAGATCTAAGAAATATTCAGGAGGGACAATCAACAGGACTTACTCTTCTGGTACAGGAAGTAAGGGAGAGGAAGGAATTAAGGACACCAAAGGGATTCCAGATCTGGAAAGCTGGGTAGACAGCACTGTACATTCACTGAGCCAGAGAAAACTGAAGGATAAACAGGGGTAGGGTGGGGTGGGGAAGATGGCAGACTCCCAGCCCCTGGCCTGTCACCAAGGCTTCGGTTCCTGGGACACCCAGCATGCAGAACCTCATCAGCATCTCACAGCACACCTGGCTGAGCTGAATGCCCCTTACCCTGGTCCCTTCTCCGGAAGGTCCACCTCCGCTGACAGTGGACTGTAGACAGGAATGCTGACATCATAGCCTTGCCGGTAAGTCCACGTAGAAAAGCCACCACCAGCCAACAGAGCCCTGAAAGCAAAGGATTTTGTCAAACAATGAGAAAGAAAGGTCTTCATTCTGATAAGCTCGTGGGAAGGGATAGGAGTAACTGGGTCAACAATAATATCAACAAAGGCCTGTTTCCTGAGTCACTTGTCTCTGAAGACACTGTGCTCAATGTTTCACAGTCATACCTCCTGGACATCGATCCCTGAGTTAGCAGCCTTCTTCTGGGGTCCTAAGTGGTCTTTCCTTCTTTTCCATTTTTTTAAAACACATCACAGCCCAGAGGCTACCCTGTGAACAGCCCCTCTGCTACCTTATTCAGATTCCATTCACCTCTCCCCAAAGTCCTACCTCGTTCCGCAACACTCACACCAGCAAGAACAGACAACAGGTCTGCACAGGAAGCCTGCTGAGACAGTCGCTCACCGACCCTCTGGCCCGAATCTTAGGTGACAATGGGCACAGAAAGCAGTGGGGACAGCAAAGTATCTCATCCCGTGCTGCGCACGCCCCAGCCTCTCTGCAATGCCCACCCCGGCAGGTCCCTCCGTGTTGTCCCAGAGCTGCGTGTGGATCATGTGGTCTCCACCAGCTCTCGCCTGCATTGCAGTTACTCAGTCCCCGTACCGGAAGCATGAATCCACAATTGGACTGTTAGTGCTTCACCTGCACTTTGCACGCACTAGCTTTTCTCCTTAATTAGAAAGCTGTGAACATACTGTTTTAATTGGATCCAGCAAACAGTACAGTGACACTTCATCAGAAAAAGGAAGCAGGTGTAGATCACACCAACTTTTACTGTTATTCTATCCCTGGGGCCCCAAATCCATCAAAATCACTTACTGGGGCAGAGTTTTGCCAGTTTCACGCATCGCACTGTCTGAGCCAAAATGTCTCAACTGAGAAACCACATTTTTTGCAATATTGATTGCTACCAATCCTCGCCCTGCCCTGATGACAACCTACATTCCCTTCGAACATGACCAGTTGAAGTTCAAAGATTTTCCAACCACCCCTGGAAAACCCAATCTGTTTCTTTAAGCGTTATGAGACCAAGAATTGGTTAGTGAGGTAAAGTGCAGGCTAAAAACCTCTCCAGCTGCCAGTCTACTCTGTAAAACTTACTGACTATCCTTAATACCAACATACGGTCTTATTTTTCCTGATCAGCATTTAGCAGTGAATCCATCCACCATGAATCTGGGCCGATGCCATGACAGCAGGCAGACTGCAGGGGACCCTGTGACCTCTGTGCAGAGAAACAAACATGGATCCAATATAGAGACACCAGGCAATTCAGGTAAGCCAGGGTGGTGGGTGATTAGGTGATTACACTCACAGTCCCAAAGGAAAGGGGAACGAGCAAGGGGCAAGAAAGGAAGCAGGTGTGTATCACACCAACTTGTACTATAATTCTGTCCCTGGGGCCCCAACTGTTGTTACTCTGTTCCAGGATAGTAGGTTGGGGGTTATGCACTGGTAGGGGGAAAGCATGCACTCGGAAGCACGTCCTACGTCACAGATCATACACTCGAGATCTCTACTTGTGACCTCCGCAAGGGCCAGGACTGCAGTCAAACAGACCTCACACCGGCCCTGCTACTGATAAGACTTCGACTTCAAGTCCCTGTATCTTCTTCTGCCAAGGACTCCACACCATGATAATGGAGACAATAGCGTGAGCTTCCCTTGCTCTACAGAACACGTTTTGCATTGAGTGAAAAATGCATTTCTGAAAAGCACATTCTGCTTTCCTATTATGTATCCCCAAATCAGAGATCAGTTCCAAAGCTACAAGAGACTGAATAGAAAACTTGCAGCTAAAAAAGCATTAATCTGATGATCAGACTTATGCCAGGTCAAGCATCACGTCACTCGAAGTGTCCTGCAGCATTTTTAGCACGTTGCAGGCCTTCCTGACGCTAGGACACGTCCTCTGTCATAGAGCCCTCTGCACGGCCTCACACACTCCACCATCGCTGCTCCAGTCTGTCCTCAGATGTTCTCCCAGTCCTCCTCCCATCTGAGTGTCCACAGGGCCTAAACACAGTTCGTCTGCAAGCACATCCTTTGCTTTCTTTTGAACCATGCATGCAATCAGGCTTGCAAATTCCTCAAATATAAAGCTTCAAATTTCGCAAAAAAAAAAAAGCTGACCAATTCTATTAATCATCCTTATTTGTTTACTGAATCAAACAAACTATTTAAAAAATATGTATGAGCCAAGTAAATCTGAACAATGGCTAGATATTTGATGATATTAGATTCCTATTAAATTTTTAGATGTGAAAATAGTACTATAGTTGTATTTTTAAAAATCCTTTATCGTGGAGAGATTCAAACGGAAATAATTACAGAGGTAATGATATAACATCTGGAATTTGCTTCTAGATAACCTGGTAGGGGGTGGGTAGGAGTACAAACCAATGGAGACCAGCCCTGAGTTGATAATTACCAAAGCTGACAGAGGGGCATGAGTTATCCATACTAATCTCTTCTTTTATACAGGTTTAAAATTTTCTATAACAAGTTAAATAAAACCCACACGAAGTAGAAATCTGTGAGAGATGTGCAAAGACACAATAACAATCCGGCATAGTAACAGTATTACAGAACATATATGAGAAAACAAAGATTGGTAAAGTAAGGCACTGAAGAGGTATAATTTGCTCCCACTTAAAATGGGTCTGTGTGTGTGTATGTGTGTGTGTATACATATATATATATACACACACAGACATGCACATGCACATATTTATACATGTTGTGTATAAATCCATAGAAGAAAAGGCTAGAAAAATACAGAGTATTTGAGGACAATGACCACCTTTCAGTAGGGAAGGAAAATAGAGGAGGATCTGAAGCATATGTTTATATTTTACTCTTTATACGCTTGCACATTGTTGCAATCTTGTACAAAGAAAGTATACCCGCAGCATGTGTAGGATTTTTAAAAATTGGAAGAGAAATAAAAACAGATTTAAGCAGCACAAAAGATATATATGCTGAGCAGACATTTCCTTCTGTCCTGGTCCTTACATTTCCCCGAGTAAAATCATTCTCAAGCAATCTCACCTATGACCTTAGATTTCAGCAGACCCTTGACGCAGTCTAATCTAGCCTGTCTGCTTTCTAATTTCCAAATAATCTGATATGCAGCTCTTGCTAAAACCATTCTGTCCTCATGGTTCTTGCCTCCTCTGAATCCAGGAACAAGGACAAATGATAAGAAAAACTCACAAAAAATCTACTCTTCCTTCCAACCAGAAGACCACCTAGGTTTCAAAATGAAATTTCCCACATGCACAGATAAAGAAGGAACACAGTGATTCATTACTTGCTATAGGATTGCCTATAATCACTTACAAAAATACATCCACAGGGAAAAAGATTTAACCCTCCTGATCCTTAACACCTAAGCACTAGCAAGAACTCAAACTTCTTCTTGACTACTTGACACTTCCCCGCAGAGAAGTGAAACCCCATTTAACATGTGCACTTGATAAAAATAAAATCCTTCTCCCATGCAAATACATATACCAAAATGTCAGCAAAAAGTGAAATGTCCCAAACAGAAATAAGCCCTTCTCAAAATAAACCCAGAACAGCAGGTGAAGACACAGCATTCCTAACAGCTTTTTCCTCCCTTCTCTGTTCCCTAAAGTATTTCACTTTCCCAGAGCAACCAAATCCATAAAACAGTAGCCCACTCAGGAACACTGAGGCTGACAGCCAAACCAGGGCTCCCCTTGTGTTTAGCCGGGTTCTATAGAATTTGTGTAGCCTGACTGCCCTCTATCGACCAAAACGCTTTCTACACCAAAGGTGAGAGGGGGGTCCTGGAGTGTAGGTCTCTTCTAGTGGTAATTGTATTTCCAGATAGAAACACAACAATGACCCTACATAATAACCACTTAAGGTAAAGAGGCTTGGATTTAATCTTCCAGGGAAAAGTAGTCCCAAGTGCAGATTTTCATAAATGCTGGTGTCAGCCTTTAGCGAGCTGAGAACACCACTGGCCTCGGGCTACCCTTTAACCCGTAACAGTGATTTTACGAGTGAAACATCAACTGTAATAAAATGACTTATGAGTGAGTTCTGATGTCAACTCACAACACTGCTGTACCTTGAGTATTGCCCGGGACCCCTACCATGGACCTCACTTTTCTGCTCTCCTCAAAGCCTTGAACCCAGTACTAGGAAAGGAACCTCACGCGGTACCCCATCCCTGAGCGTTCTGGGAAGCCTTCAGCCCAAGCAGTTCAGTCGATGTGGAAAAGGGGTGATTAACAGAGTGAACAGACTCAATCATAATCCCGCAATCCCAACCACCCCACACCACACGTGCTGTTTGGAAGGTTTCATTAGGAAGAGAGGAAGGAAAGAAGTGGGTGGGGGCCAGGAGGGATGGGAGGACAGAAGGAAAGACCCCACTGACCGAGACAATGGAGAGTAAATGAACCAGAGTGCTCTCGTTCCCCTGACATGACAGGCTCTAGGTGTCACTTTCACACCTCCGTGCCCCCTTCCCACAGCAAACTGCGGCTCACTTTTTACAAATGCTCCCAAATTCGGACAGAGCCGACACAAGCCAGGCATGAAACGGGCCTTGGGGTTGGGGGTGCTGCATTAAGGAGAGCAAAACTCAGACTGAGAAAAAAAGATCGTTTTTTAAAACGCTATGCTAGGGACGCCTGGGTGGCTCAGTTGGTTAAGTGTCTGCCTTTGGCTCGGGTCATGATCCCAGGGTCCTGGGATCAAGTCCCGCATCGGGCTCCTTGCTGAGCGGGGAGCCTGCTTCTCCCTCTGCCTGCGGCTCCCTCTGCCTGTGCTCTCTCTGTGTCTGTCTCTCTCTGACAAGTAAATAAAATCTTTAAAAAAAAATAAAATGCTTTGCTATAACATAAGTTCTAGTCGGTTCTCCGTAACAGATTTAAGCAGGTCCAGTCTCACTACATCTATGTCTCAAGGAGGGAAATGCCTAGGACAATGTTTTATTTTGACAATTCTGATTACATAGTCTGCCCCACTAGCCTTGGAAATAGGACTTCACATGAAAGAAAGGGTCTTGCATTTCCTTAACCCTCAGAAACCCATCACTGGGATAGCCCCAAATACACTTACCTGTCTCTGGGGACATCCAGAGCCGTGTTATAATCTGGGGGACCTCCAGGCAACATGTTGAACAGCAGGTGGTTTGTACCTCGATCCCACCTATTAAGAAATGAAACATGTACATGTAGTTGAATTTATATGTCAACTACGAAGGAACAGAAACAAGAATCAGTTACTGGGATGACAAGCAGCAAGTATCCCCAACCCCAACTAGGGCTACTTCTCCGGGGTGCCAAGTGAATTCCTAGAAATCCCAAGAGTACATCAGACACTAGGCTGGCTCCTCGAAAGGAAAAACAGGTAGATGTGTACTTCGAGCTTGGCCACTACAGGTGTGCCTATGATAATGACAACCCAAAAACGATCTGAATGTTCACCATTTGGTTAAAGAAACAAAAAAGGAATATAGAAGCCTGGTTAAGTACATCATGGAACATGCATAAAATGGAAGGCTATACAACCCTTAAAATTATATAGTAAACGAACATGAAGTTATCTGGAAATACATTCACAATGTATTAAGGAAAAAAGGCAGCACAAGAGTATAGAATTGTGTAATCCCATTTCTGACGAAACGTGTACACGTGCATATGCCTACTTCATACAAAAATGTATATACACATGCGTACGTGTATATTTTTTTTACAAAAATGACTGGGAAGTAACATCATTGAGGTGGCATCATGGAACGAATCTTACATGCTTCTTTTTGCTTACTTGTATTTCCAGACTTTTTACAGTGAACATGCTAATATATTACGTAAGTAGTAAGGGGTGGGGGGAGATTTCAATATAACAGGAAAGCTATGGGAGGATGAGCCATCCCGAGGTTTTAAACTCCATGCAGGTGGGAGCCCACAGCAACAGGTCGGCTGGCCGACGGCTTTTCACCGGTACAGAGGCGAGGTGCTTCCGGCACCAGCTTCACGCTCCAAGTCGGTCGCTCATACACATGCCCTCCCACGAGGAAAGAGACAGCAGCTGGAGGCCAGCTCAAGAGGAGACCCATCCCCTCTCCCCGCCCTTCCCTCCAGCTCCCCCAAGGCCCTGGCTCCCGTCTGTAAACGGGCTACACACCTAGAGAGCTGGGCCAGTGCCTGTGCTGTCTCCTTAATGCGGAGCGTGTTCTGGTTAAGGACGTCGATGGATGGGACAAACAGGCAGGCCCGGGTGATGTCATCGGTATAGTAGTCGCTGTCTGAGATGGCCGTGAGCAGCTCGTTATACTCCCGGGAGATGGTGTTGCTGACGGGGACACCAGCGTCGTCCACGTACTTTTTCAGAGAGTAGATATACACCTTGATTTTGTTCTTTGGGTTGAAGCCACAGCGGTAGACATCAAAGCACGTGTGCATCCTGCAGCTGAGATCGCCGCGCTCAGGGCTGGGACTATCGGCCGGCAGCCTGACCACCGGCACATCGCGGACACTGCGCTTCTCTACGTTCCAGTCACTGGAGGACTCGATGGAATGGGGCCAGAACTGAAACATGCCGGTGGCAATGAGGCCCAGCAGGACGATGGAGAAGAGGGTGATGTAGTAGATTCGGTGCTTGGTCTTCATTCTTGGGATGAGGGCAGGACCCCGGATATTGTACTTGACCGACGCACACATAATGACACAGACAGCCTCTTCCTCCCACTCCTAGTTCCAGGGGGAGACACAAGAAAAATGAAGCAGGCAGGGTGGCAAGTGACCCCTGAAAGGACTGTCTGACCCTCAGCATCCTATTTCTTTCCCTGAAGCGGTTTGAGGAAATAATGAAAAGGGATTTTTGACCCTTCTCGTAAATATATTCGAATATATATTTGTGTATTAAATGTGTGCTATACGCCATATTTAGTATTTCATATTGTACACACTAAATACAAATGTTGATAAATTTAACTATATCCTATAAATATATATTCAATGAAAGCATAAGTCATAAATGCGTGGGGCCTAGGAAGAGGGGCGCTGACCAAGGAAGAAAGTCAAAAGTAGAATAAAGATAGTTGTTTTATTTCGTTTTTAAACACTTGGCTAACATATGGGGCCCCTGGGTGGCTCAGTCGGTTGAGCTTCCGACTGTTGGTTTCGGCTCAGGTCATGATCTCAGGGTAGTGGGATCGAGCCCCACGGGCTCCACGTTCTGCAGGGAGTCTGCTTGAGAGTCTCTCTCTGCCCTTCCCCCCCAGTCTCTAAATAAATAAAAGTCTTTAAAAAAAAAACCACTTGCCTAACATAAACTGATGCTTCATCTGGACAAACTGGCTCTTGGTTATCCTAAAATCTGTTTTCAGTCACTTATTCAGTCAACCCTGTGATGAGCGAGCACCGAACACGCACTGTGCAAGAAACGAGGAAGAGGGTGCCTGGGTGGCTCAGTTGGTTAAGCGACTGCCTTCGGCTCAGGTCATGATCCCAGGGTCCTGGGATCGAGTCCCGCATCGGGCTCCCTGCTCTGCGGGGAGCCTGCTTCTCCCTCTCCCACTCCCCCTGCTTGTGTTCTCTCTCTCGCTGTGTCTCTCTCTGTCAGATAAATAAATAAAAAATCTTTAAAAAAAAAAAAAAAGAAAAGAAACGAGGAAGAAAGCAAAGACTCCACCTTACGGGAACTTACATTCTACTGAGGGAGGTAAGACAAAGCTATGACAAAATGCAAAATGTAAAAATATCACTAGGAAAGTATCAATAAGGTGCCAAGGACTATTAGGCTAGATTACTCTTTAAATAAAATATAGTGATGTTTCATAAGGTGACAAATTGACACATTTAGATGGAAGGAAAGTAGAAAAGCATAGGGAGATAGGGAGCGAGGGAAAGAAGGGTCAATGTGGTGGATCAATTTCCAAAGACTGATGCCAACAATTCTTCACATCTTTGAATGTGCATGCCACTTTTCTAATCAAAAGGCAGAATCTATTCCTCTTCCCCCCTGAATCTGGGCTAGCCTTGTGACTTGCTCTGACCAGGAGAATGTGGCGGAAGTGACATTCTCGGGCTTTTGAGCTCAGGCTTTAAGAGACCTGTAGCTGCTGTTCTGTCCTCTGGGAACCCAGCTGCCGTGCCATCAGGAAGCTGGGCTCCCAGCTGAAGGTAACGCCAGGGAGACCCCACTGCAAACTGAATAAAACAGACAGGAACCATCCCCAGCAAGTTCTGCACAGACTGCAGAATCCTGAGCAAATACATGGTAGTTATTGTTGCCTGGGTCACTAAATTTTGGGTTGGTTTGTTATACAGCAATACCTGAATGAAACAGCCAGTAAGCATCTCTGAATGATACAAAGATATTCTTAGTCCTCACCTGAAAATACGGACTTTCCCTGTAGATCACAACTTAAGATCCTTACCAAACAAGCCTGCCCCATTGGATGCCTGGATACTGTGTGGGGAGGGCAGAGCCGTGGGACTGCACCACGTGTCACAGACTCACCATGTCACTGCGGTAAGCTGCTTCGGGCAAGCCACGTGTCAAAGTCCCAACCTACAAAATGGTCTCATTCTACTCACTGGTATTTCAGAAAAGCTATTAATAAAAAGGGAAAAAACTGAAAAGTTCATGGACCATCTTCAAGGGTAGCAACCATTTTTACTTTGGCTAAATGGCGCTCTCCCGCATCACTGCCCACATGGCAAAACGGCTTCCGGCCTAGCTGGCGGGGCGCTGCCAAGCCTTGAATGTTGCAATCGCACCAGCTTTGGGGGCAAAATGTAAACAGTCACAAAAGATTTCAACTTGTATCTCCTGTGACCATCAGTTGGAATGTAAGAAATCTGCTGGTCACACATGACTGCATGAAGGTGCATATATTTTTAAGCTTAAAAATTATCATCTTTGGGGAACATACATCACCAACCATTCACATATGTTCATTGATTCCAGGACAGAAATATGGGCATGAGAACCATTTCAGTGTTTCTGTCATTCTAACCACCAGCTTGCCCCTACTCCCTACTACCTCCAGTCCCCCTCCCCCCCCAGGTAGCTTTCTTGGCATTCTCTGTCTCTGCGGGAGCTAGAAGATAGGAAGGCTCAGCACACATGCAGGCAAGGAGCCACCCGCTCCACGGCGGCAAGTCAGAACTCCCCAGCAGGCTCTCCAGGTACATTTATCCCCGGATCGGTGGTTTTCAAACACCCAAAGGGTGAGCATCACAGGCGCAGGTTGTTGAACCAGAGTCTTTGGCCCAGGTGCCGGAGGTCTGTACTAGCCCGTCTAAAATAGGGTCACCGAATCGGGCATTTTAGCAGGCTCCTCAGTGTTTTTTTGTGTCATCAGGTTTGAAATCTTGACTGAAATTAGACAAACTACCTTTTAACACAGTAGCTTTCACACCTTTTTTTTTTTTTTTAACTAAAACCTACAATAAGAAATACATTTTATATTGTGACCCAATACAGACATAGGTGTGTGTGTATTTTAAATAAAAGCTTCACAGGGGCCCCTGGGTGGCTCAGTTGGTTGAGCAGCTGACTCCTGATTTCAGCCTAGGTCATGATCTCAGGGTCCATGGAGTCCACGTTGGGCTCCCTGCTCAGCGGGGAGTCTGCTTCAGGACTCTCTCTCCCTCTGCCCCTCCCCCTGCTCGTGCGCGCGCGCGCTCTCTCTCTCTCTCTCTCTCTCTCTCTCTCAAATAAATAAATACATCTTTTAAAACAATTTTTAATTAAAAAAAGAAAGAAAAGCTTCACAAAAAAGTATTTAACCTTAGTATACAATACTAGCCATAGAACATGGAACAAACATGGTATTTTTCTATTCTGTTATTCTACTGATGCTGGCCTTACCTATGAGATGAATTATATCACCTGATAATGGGTCACGCACAGTTTGGAAAAAAACTGATTTCATATATAATAAAACTGGGATTAATGGAACAAAAATAGAATCCACGTGAGCTTACAAATGTTCAAGAGTTACAGACTATGAAAAAGGCACTATCACAACAAAATAAACCCAAATAGAAGGAAATAAGTAATAAACAAAAACAGTAATTAACTAATAAAAAAAAAACAGAAAGGATCAACAAAGCTAAAAGTCGCTTTTTAAAGTTTTTTTTTTTAAGATTTATTTTAAAGAGAGCGTGCAAAAGACAGCATGCACGTGAGCAGTGAGGAGGGGCAGAGGGAGAGAGTCACAAGCAGACTCAGTGTTGAACATGGAGCCCAAAGTGTGGCTTGATCTCACAACCCCAAGATCTCAACCTGAGCCGAAACCAAAAGTCGGACACTTAACCAACTACACCACCCAGGTACCCCTAAAAGTTGCTTTTTTAAAAAGGTGAATAAAATTGACATTTGATATAACTCTGGTAGAATTAATCAAGATAAAGAAAAAAAGGCACAAATAAATATCTAGAATGAAAACTCTAAATGCTGCCTGTAGTTAAAAGATGATATCAATGAACTTACACCAATATATTTGAAAACTTAGATGAGCTAGAAAACTTCTTTAAAAACAAAACTTTAGGGGCACCTGGGTGGCTCAGTCAGTTGAGCGTCTGTCTGCCTTCGGCTCGTGTCATGATCTCAGGGTCCTGAGATTGAGCCCTGCATCGGGCTCCCTGCTCGGTGGGAGGCCTGCTTCTCCCTCTCCCACTCCCCCTGCTTGTGTTCCCTCTCTCACTGTCTCTCTCTCTGTCAAATGAATAAATAAAATCTTTAAAAAATAAATAAAAACTTTAAAAATCTTCCTATAAAGAAAATTTCAGGCCCAGAAGTTCTACTGCACATTCAAGAAATAATTCCAATTTTACACAAATTATTTCCAAGTCCAGAAAGAAAGGTGAAACACTCCCCAGCTTCTATTAGGAGGCTAGCATAACCTTAATACCAAAATCTCACACTGGTGGTTCTCAAAGTACGTCTGATGCCAGGAGTCCCCATGACCCTTTCAAAGGCTCTGAACAACACTGACAGGATTTTTTCACTTTCATTTTTGAGGCCATGTGACACATGTTATTGTAAAGACTGCAGAAGTAGATATGAGAATCCAGCTGTCTTCTGATAAGTTTTTCCTAATTCAATGAAAGATATCAACCCACAGATTCAAGATGCTCAAATTTGGGGCACCTGGGTGGCTCAGTTGGTTAAGCGACTGCCTTCGGCTCAGGTCATGATCTTGGAGTCCCAGGATCAAGTCCTGCATCAGGCTCCCTGCTCAGCGGAGGGTCTGCTTCTCCCTCTGACCCTCCCCCTTCTCATGCTCTCTCTCTCTCTCTCTCATTCTTTCTCTCTCAAATAAAGAAATAAGATCTTTAAAAAAAAAATGCTCAAATCCAAGCAGAATATATACAAAAAAAAAAAAAAAAAAAAAAAAGCCACCTAGATATGTCGAAGTAAAACAACTAAAAAGAAAGCTAAAGAAAAAAATGTTAAAAGCAGCCAGAGGGGAGAAAAATCTATCCAAGGTCTATTAAAAAACTACGTGTAACAGGCAAAACTATAAAATACTTAGAAATCTCTATGACTTCTGGGCAGAGAATGATTTCTAAAACAAAATACAAGAAGTGCAAACCACAAAAAGATAAAATGATAAAACCTGTGTTACAATTAAGAATTTTTCTTCATCAAAAGATACCATATAGAAGTAAAAAGACAATCAATAAACTAGTAGAGACCTGCAATCCATATAACTGATAAGGACTAGCAAGCCAAATAAAGAATGCCTACAAAACAATAAAAACAAACAAAGAACAAGAAAACAAAAAGGAGAAAACCAGACAGAAGACTTAAGCAGGAATTACACAGGAGAGGACACAAAATCAGCACAGCGACACCTGAAAACCACCTTTAGTCTCATCAATGGTCAGCGAACGTATAACGACAATGAGACACCATCCAGCCGCCAACACAAGAAAACGAAAGAGTCAAACAGCACCCGGTGTGGGCAGGGCCTGGAGCCACTGAACTCCGCTGGTAGGAGTATATGAACAGGCTTGAGTCCCAAGTGGTCAGCAGGAGGGCTGGAAAGAAGAGGGGCTAATGCCCCTATGTTAGAGTCCTAAGCATCACATTGCGCTTCCTACTTGTCATAGTTTGGTCCCCCTGGCCCCCTGCAAAAAGAACCAGAGACAAGGATGGAGGTACAGGGAGTTTCCTTACTTGGGAGGTGATCTCAGAAGGCCAGAGTAAACAGCAAGGAGAGAGAGACACAGAACCAGGGACAGCCAGTAAGGTGGGCAAAAGGGGCTCTTGGGAGTGCTAGGAACTCTTGAAAAACCACAAAAACTAAACTTGTCCCTCAGAAGGATGAGAAGCCAAGGCACTGATCTCCCAACTCCCGCCCACTATTGCTTGAGATTGTCTGGTACTATTATCAGCTCATACTCTGTACTCAACAACCCTCAAAAGGTCTGGATCTTATCCTTTCCTCAATGTACCATTAGTCTGATAAAGAGCTGCAGTTCCTGGAGGAAGGACTGGGTGAACGTCTGTCTATACCTGCAGGAACATTTCAAAGACCTCTTTAAAGAGACCCAGGCTCCCTCTCAATCCATGGGATATGGGTCTGAGCTCCTGCCTGAAAACTGGGGTTGAACAGTGATTTTTCCACTGCAACAGCTGACATCAGCCTTCTACTTGCCCGCTCTTGGTTTTTTTTTTCTGGTTATACAAGTCAAGCAATACCTTAGTTAGCTGCCCATCTATACTGTCCTTAAGGATACTATACTCTATTAGCATCACTGTGGATCAAGACACATCAGCAGCAAGTTGGGCTTTATTGGCCATTGTGGGGACTGTGTCTACCATGCCACTGAAGGTCAATGCCACCCAGCCTCCGCTATTTCAGAATCCTATCACCCTCACAGATACTTGGGAACCCAGTTCCCCAATCACATCTAAAGCCAATTCTGGCCTACAGGAAACAGTCCACACTGAGCTTCTCAAAGATGCTGGCCTCCAGTGGGCATTCCATGTTGCCAGAATTATAGGAGTGAGCCCTCCCGGGAACATGGGCAGGTGTACATCTCTGGCCTCAAATAATAAATCTATTTCAAATCTCCACCCCCCAATACCTCTGATCCCTTCCTCAACACTCTCCCCAGACAGCTCTGGCATCTCCACCTCATTTCCTACAGGCCAGCAGTTTCTGGCCTGTTATCTCGGGCCAGATCATCCTTTTCTGTGGGAAGCCAGAAACAACCCCCAGTTTTGAGAACCAAAAATATACCCAGACATTGCCAAATACCCCCGGGGGAGCCAAAATCACCCCTACCTGAGAACCAGTGGTGCAGATCATGGTCATGTCCAAGTTTCAAGGAATCTGCCCAGTTGCTCCAGTTGTTCTTGCAAGATCATTAAACCCCTAATCCTGAGAGAATGCTCCTAAAGAGACACAGCCTTTCCCAAGCAGCTTTATGGTCCACCGTTACCCCACTCTTCAGCTGACACCCTCAAGATTCACTCGCACATGTGTGCCCTCAGCTCCCGCTGGTTCCCAGGAGCCAGGTCCTACAACTCCAGTACAAAAGCTATTTGTCCAGTAGCAGGGACTGTACTTCCCCGCTTAGGCAATGCTGAGATCCGAGGGGAGGGGGAGGCAGATCTTGAGAGGATAAGTACCATCCTGCAAGGCAAGAGCCTTCAGCAAGGTTTTTGCAGAGTGTCCAGAGGATACTTCCACTAGCCCCGAGGATCTAAGGAAATCTGGGAGTTCAGAGTTCTCCATGCTTCTACCAAACAGCTGCATCTCAGGCCTCACCCCTGACTTTAGCAGAGGCCACCTGTCCCAGGCTGCGCCTTCAGCCTCCTCTGCAGTTTTGCCATAATTATGATTAAATTCCGCGCCTGATTTTCGACAGTCTGGCTTCTGACTGCAGGAGATGCTGCCACAGAGCCTTCTGTCGCTCACAGTGTGTCCTGGGGTTGATACCTGGCTGATCTGAGCCTGACCTTACCTCAAGGCTCGAAGAAAGATGACAAGAGACAGCCAGCTCCACTAGCCTTATCATTCCCATGGTCCATATCCTGCCCACGTGCTAGAGCTACTGTACTAGCCAATGCTTTCCCTTCTACCTGAGTCACATCCCACCCACCGTTGGCAAGAGTCACACAACTGTGATGCTAGAGTACCAGGGGTTATCAACAGCTGCATAGGGGCCCTTGTTGCCATCTGAGGGTGAGGGAGTCCAGTTTTACAATACTATTCTCAGGGTCGGCTTTCCAGAGCCATTCTAGTACCAACTGTCTTAGCTTATGTTCCACCAAACTAGGAAAAAACAACTGGAAAGCAGGGAGCTTGCAGAAGATGAGTCCAGAGAGCCAGAGTGAGGGACGAAGGAGGGGAGTCAGGGAAGAACGGAAAGCCATGAGGATTACCATACTGAGCTGAGGAATGGGGCTCAGTCCTCTGCAGAACTATGTAGAACACACCTCAGAACTGTCCCTTTGAAGGAGAGGAAATGATGGCATTCATCCACTGAAGCCCATCCCCTACTGGCTGAGGGCTATTCCCAGATGTAAACTCACATTTTTGAGATACGCCTACACAGCCAAAGCAAGCTCCCACAAGCCTTTGCCAAACAGGTGGGAGATATGGTGAGTATTTGAGGTGAAGTAAAACTAAAAACGAGGGGAGCGACACCTGGGTGGCTCAGTTGGTTGAACGTCCAACTCTTGGTTTCAGCTCAGGTCATGATCCCAGGGTTATAGGGTTCTGCGCTCAACAAGGAGTCTGCTTGGGATTCTCTCTCCCTCTCCCTCTGCCCCTCCCCACTGCTTGCGTGCTCACACTCTCTCTCTCTCTCTCTCTCAAATAAGTAAATCTTTAAACAAAAAAAGGGGGGGGAGGGGAAAAGCCTTAAATGAAAAAGGAAAGCAAAGGATGAGAGATGAGAGGAAAAAAGTCCCTTACTAAATGGTGCTTTAGAGATAGAGAACCTTCTTGGTGAGCATCCATGTACCTTTCACATACCTCATCCCAACATTTGCCATGTTATATTAAGTATTTGCAAGTTTGTCTCTTCTACTGGTTGTCATTTTCTTGTAGTCAATTTCCACACACTGAAGCACAGAAAGATGTATGTCCCCAAAACCATCATCCAAGAAAACGAGTCATAATCTTCCCATCCTAAGAGGACACTTGCTACCACCACCATGTTCAATGCCCCTGACACTGAGCCTCTCGGAAGAGGACTGAAAGGAGTCTTCTACTAATTAATGTTTCACATAATACCATAACCCATATGAAACGAGAATTTCACAGCAAAGCCTTACAAACTTAACCTCCCTGAAACACATCAAACCTGTCCCTGCAAAACACTGGAATCATCTGTCTAACTGTCGAGCACTGAGTCACTGGAAAAATCTTTTAACTCCTCTCTACTGTCAGGATGAGATGCATTTTCTGTTCCTGGAATTATTTATCCCGAAAATGTGCCTGAAAATCTATCCTTGGTGCTTCAGGCTATATCCAATCCATTTAGTCTGATGCTCTGAATCACAATCTCGTCTTAACCTTTTTAGAAAAGCCCTCACAACTGAACTCCCAGGGCCACTGCAATACTGGAACTTAACCCCGCTGTGCCTGAAAACAAAGGAACCAAATATTAGCAAAAGAAGGAAGATCTGTGATTCATTGCCTTCCTTGATAGGGTTCTTTATAATTAAAGTTATATGATGACTAACCATCCCTAAAAATGGTTTCCAATGGGGAAAAAAAAAAGTGTTTCCTTGATTGTGAGAATTATACTATAATTAATATAATGTATATAACAACTAATAACTAAACTATACTGAGGACTCACTACATGCATCTGTTTTAAGCACTTTGTGTTAACGTATTTAATCTTTCTAACAGTGCCATGTGACAAGCTATTATTATCCTCATTTTACAGATAGGGAAAGTGCAAGGGGAAGGCTAAGTAACTTGCACAATGTCACAAAACTAGAAAATGCCAAGGCTAGGATTGGGAGGATGGCAGTCTGACTCCGGAGCCCCAGCTACTAACCTCCAAGCCTCGCCTAATTACCTACGAAAGCCTAGATTAGATCTACCTTTTTCACTCAACAAGCAAAGGCAGCATAACTTGACGGATCCAAATTTATCTATTCATACGAGCACATGCAACCGAGAGGCTTAAGACAGCGGAAGTGAGGAATGCTGGAAACTGAGTCATATATTAACACGAACAGCCTTTGAGCCCTGACATTCACAAACCCGAGCCCAGTGCAAATCCTTACAGCACTCAGCTGACTCCGAAGAATTAAAATTGACATATTTCCACTTAAAGGCATCTTCAGACCAGCCAGTCAAGGACCCTTCTAGCTTAGCAGTTCCCAACAAGTTACACCAAGCAATCATTTGAGTCTCAAAACTGACCTGGCTCCCACCGCCAGTAGCAAACCTCCAAATGCCTCTGAGCTCTGATGCCCAGGGCCTGGGCACCCCGGACCACCTTCCCCACCCAGGCTTTTCTCCGCGCTGAGGGCACAGTGCCCCAAGCCCTGCCCTGGCATCCTGCGCCGCACGGGCTACCACCGGCCGCGGGAGAGCCCAGCGCGCCAGAAATCGCCGCGGGGAGAACCCGATCCCCGCAGCTCGCGGGAAGGAGGTGGCAGCGGGAAGGCAGAGGTCCCGGGGCAGCGTGGGCCCCGCGGGAAAGGCAGCTGCGGGGTCCCGCGAGAGAGGAAAGGGGCGGGCGGGGGCAGAGGACGCAAGTGGGCCGCAAAGCGCGGGGCGGGCCGGGTTACCAGGGACCAGGCGGTGCGGAGATCCAAGCGCTCCCACAGCGCGAGACGCCGCGAGCGGCCCCGGCGGGGGTGGGGTCGCCCCTCGCCGCCCTCAGGCCTCCGCGCGGCCCGCGCTTCCCGGCGGCCAGGCCCGACTCCGCCGCGGCCCCGGAGGCCCTTCCGCGCCGCGCTCACCTCGGCCACGGTTGCCTCCCGCTCGGCCCCGCGCTCGGTCACCGGGGCATGCCGCAGGGCGCGGGCCACGGCCGCCCGGGAGGGACCGCGCCGAGTCGCCGGCCGCCGGCGCCGGGTCTGCGCGAGCGAGCGGGGAGAGCGGCGCCAGCGACCGGGCTCGGCGACGTCTGACACCGAGCGCACTGCGCGTGCGGGAGCGGCCGGGCCCGCGCCCCCTGCTGGACAGGAGGAGCCAGGGCCCCGCGTAGGGTTTCTCCCAGGCAGGAGCGCGAAGCTCAGGCTCCACCCTAAAACTTGGTCCCGCAGAGACCTGCAGCCTTATTCATAATTAAAGAAACTGCAGGCCCAAGCAGCGAAGCACCGTGCTTCACTTATAAAACTGACACAAATGTAAACGTTTTATTACAGTGAGTAGTGGTGCAGCATTCCCGGAGGGCAACTGGGCCATATCCATCAAATGTAAAATGCCCGCAACCTTTCCACCAATCCCTCTGTATGTTTACCCTACGGATATTCTCAACAGCGTTTACCAAAAATACTCATTACAGCGTTTTTCCAAATAATAGCTAAAAACTGGAAACAAGCAAAATGAACTATGGGAAAATTTATAGTAATCAAAATAAATTATGACTAAAATGGAATCATGTGAGAATGCATATATATGTCGGTACAGAAATATCTCGAAGGTGTGTGAATATGGAAGCATGCTCTAAAACTGAGTAAATATGGTCTTTTCCATAAAATTATGTATATGCAAAATTAGGAGAGAGAAAATATACATGCAGATGTTTATATTTCAAGCGTATGTATAATATTTTTTTCTGGAGGGAATCCAAGAAGCAATGAACAGTTTTGGAGGAATAATGGTGGAGATAGAAATGGGGGAAAGAGATTTTGTTTTGTTTCTTTCCGTATTATTCACATGATCTAGCCTTACATATGCACATATGCACAGCAAAACCCCTGTCATAAGGCATAAGTGAAGCCTAAAAAAAAATCTATCAAAATGCAGAGTGCTGTAATTGGGAGGTTAATGAGATGACCCCACAGAGCCCGTGCAGTTTGCAGGTAATAGTCCGCAGAAGCCAAATCCGTTCTGGGCCCAGCTATCCCATAGCGCCATCTAGTGGAAGCTGTTACTTACAGCTTAAGTAATCAGGGAGTAGATTCTGAGTCTGGAGACTGAGGTTTCCAGCAGCAAGAGATTCCAGGAATATTCTTGTCAGTTAATGCCTGCTGGCTACTGATCCAGGGATATTGGGATGAGAGTGTTCTGGAGATGGGAAACCTACATTTTGCTTCTCCACATCCAAGAGAACATTGCCCTGCCCTCCAAATCCACATGCCCCCAAGACAACAGGAAATTTACCACACATTCACCCCATTTGGTAACAGGATAGATGGAAAGTATTTTGTTTTCTTGCCTTTCTCTGAATTAAATATATGTTGTGTGTATATATAAATATATGTATATCTTCATTAATCATTCACCTGTTCATTAAATGAGGACTTTCTCTGTTAAAGACCTGTGTTAGGCACCGCCTCAGAGGAACCTATCTTATTTACTTCTTATAACCCTAGACATGAATAGTGCCTGGACATAGTTAAATGCTCTAGGAATATGAATAAAGGGTGCCCAGACACTGGGAGGAGCTCCGTAGAAAGAAGACAAATGCACGAGTAATATTAGGCAAAGCAGAGGATGAAATGTAGCCTGGGAGAATATAAATAAAGTGCTACGGGGTTCAAAAGAGAAAGCAATCACATCCAGTTGCAAAGATGTGGGAAGACTTCACACACAATAGTTAATATCTTTGCTGGTCCTGGAGGATAGTTAGGATTTTGGCACGTAGAGAAGTGAATAGGGCATTCCAGGCAGAGAAAAAGTCATGAGCAAAAGCAGTGGATGTAAAGAAGAAGCCATCAGAAAGACCAAGTGTTTTTTTTCATCCAGTCTAACTAGAACGATGTGGCTACATTTCCAGGGGTAGAAACCATGCCAGTGATTGGAGGTAAGTAAGCACAGAGCCATGACTGTAGAAGCTGTAGAGATGCTAAAGCAGCTGAGGATGACAGCGGAGCAGACTGGTATAGAAAACTAGAAGCCAGGACCCACAGTCCCTGAGAAGGTAGAAAAGTTCAGTGGTCAGTGGTTAAAAGAGGTGAGGCTGTAGAAAGATGTTTCATTCCTCACGTTGAAGGCACAGAAAAAACCAGAGACTGCGCAGATCCCTGCCGACCCAGGGGGTCAGGAAAAGCAAAAGTGGAAGTTAGACAAAGCGTGGCTTTCCAGGCAAGTGGCATCATCAAGGGAAAGCAAGGTTACGGGCAGGAGGAATTGCTAGCGTGCAGTGGTATCCCAGATTTACCGCTTCCTTTAAATGATGGTGGTTTGCAAGAATGGAGAAAGGTATAATCTCCAAGGAAAAAGACTCTGTGAAAGAATCATTGTATGGTATTTTTTGCTGGCTCAGCTTAAATGACACTGCTGGGCAGCCTGGAGAACTAGAAAACACCTATCAAGCCCAGATCAAATATAATGAACACTCTGTCTGATGGGTAGCTGAGCTCACAAAAATAGTAAAGAAAAGATACAGGGGCCAGAAATGAAGCTACAGGGAGAAAACTGAGTGTTGAAGCGACAACAGGGCATGCGAGGTGGGGGAGTGGATCCCAAGAGGCTCACAGAAAGCCAGGATACTGAGGTGGAAGGCTGGGGAACCAACTCAACATCAGTAACAACAAACCAAAAAACTGTCTGTCTTGTCCAGAGAATGGAGAACAGTAGTCTCTGCTGAGAATCTTTAACATCAGGCTTCTTAACCATATGGGATTTGAATTTATATCTACCAGCATGGCCCAGAAAGCTCCAAGCCTAGAGAATAACACAAAGTATTACCAACACAGGTTGGTCACATCTGAAGAAGGACACATGAACCCCCCCAGCTGGAGGGTCATGCTTTCACACACAGCCTGCTCAGGATCCCAACAGATAAAACCCCAACAAATGTAAGCACACAATCCAGAATGAGCACATGATAAATAAGCCAGTCAGAAGAAACTACAAACAGCACAAATTTTACCTCCAAGAACCACAGATAATTGGATTATGAGAAATAAATAAAAAATAAGTAAGTTTATGGTGCTCAAAGACTTGAAAAATGGAATGTCAACATTAGAAAGAAACAAGATGATATTTTCTGAAAAGACCGAGGAAATTTGAAAAAGCACTAAACATAAAAATCAGGAACTCAATGCCTAAGTTAAGCAGTAGATGAGACACAATTAGTAAATTGGGATATAGATCTGAATAGACTACCCAGAATGCAGATCAAGGAGAAAACAAAGAGATGGACGAGGATGTGGAAAGAGAGGGAGGACAGAGGCGGGAAGGCCAGCATATATCACGAAGGAGGGAACAGAGAGAATGAAGAAGCAGTATCCAGGGAGAGATTAGCTGAGAATTTTCCATCACTGGGCAGAGATGACCATTTGTAACAGGTGGACAAGAAGACTAACAGCAGACTTCTCAATAAGAACAAAAACAAAACACAGAAAGCATTAAGATAATCATAAGAAGGCCAAGAGAAGCTAGTAGTCCATGTACAATTGTAGACTCAGTGAAGCCATCTTTCAAGAATAAGAAATAAAGACATTTTCAGACAAACACAAAAAGAAAGAATTTACTATCAATAAACCCTTCCTAACAGAATTTCTGAAAGATGTACTTCAGGAAAAAGAATGTTAGAACCAGAAGAAAGTACTGAGATGAGGTGTGAATGGCAAACAATAAACTGATAAACTCAAGGGTAAATCAAAACAAATACCAACTAAAACAACAACAACTATAAATACTGACTGTATAAAACTATAAAAATAAAAATGACAAATTTGGAAATTTAAAACTAGATGTTTATCCCCATGTTCACTGTAGCATTATTTACAATAGCCAAGATATGGAAACAATCCATCACCAGGTGAGTGGATAAAGAAAAGGGGATATGGTACATACAATGGAATATTTTTTATAACAAATTTTTTTAAGATTGATGTATTTATTTGCAGTGCCTGCATGGCTCAGTCGGTTAAGCATCTGCCTTCGGCTCAGGTCATGATCCCAGGGTCCCGGGATCGAGCCCTGCATCAGGGTACCTGCTCCGCGGGGAGCCTGCTTCTCCCTCTCCCACTCCCCCTGCTTGTGCTCTCTCTGTCAAATAAATAAAATCTTAAATAAATAAATAAATAGAATCTTAAAAGAAAATATTTATTTATTTATTTATTTGTTTGTTTTAGAAAGAGAGAGAGAGCAGGGGGAGGGACACAGGGAGAGAGAGAATCTTAAGCAGGTTCCACACCCAACACGGAGCCCTATGCGAAGGCTAGATCTCATGACCCTGAGATCACGACCCGAGCCCAAACCAAGAGTCAGATACTTAACCAACTGCACCACCCAGGTGCCCCCCTACAATGGAATATTATTCCGCCATAACAAGAGAGACATTGATGGACCTCAAGGACATCATGCTAAATAAGTCACACAGAGAAAGACAAATACTGGGTGATCTCTCTTATACTGGAATCTAAAAACAAAAACAAACAAATTTTAGAAAAATAAGCATATAGATACAGAGGACAGACTGGTGGTTGCTGGAGGTGGGGATGGGAGGTGAGAGAAATGGGTGAAGGGGGTGAAAGGTAAAAAAAAGAAATAAGTTGAGGGCGCCTGGGTGGCTCAGTTGGTTAAGCAACTGCCTTCAGCTCAGGTCATGATCCTGGAGTCCCTGGATCGAGTCCCACATCGGGCTCCCTGCTTGGCAGGGAGTCTGCTTCTCCCTCTGATCCTCCTCCCTCTCATACTCTCTGTCTCTCATTCTCTCTCTCTCAAATAAATAAAATCTTTTAATAAAAAAAAAAAAAGAAAGAAGTTGAAAGAAGTTTGCGGTGAATACCCACATATCTACCATCTCTACTATGTAATTAATATTTTACGGTACTTATCACATATTGATCCACCCATTGTTGACCCCTCATTTTTTGCTGCATTGCAAAATAAATTGCAGCTATCAAGTAGCTAACATCTGAATATTTTATCGAAGGCATGTCATTAACTACAGATCAATATTTTCCAGTTCCCTTTTTCTAATGAGGTAAAATTTATGCACAATAAGGTACACACATTTTGCATTTTTTCTTTATATCAGGGAATAACAATGACTATGGCCAGTAGTGAGGAAAACATAAAGGCAGAAGAAAGGAGCAAAAAATAATCATTTTCCCTTTATACAAAAATCATAGTTCACATGTAAGCAAAAACAAAACAAAACAAAACATTAAATTAGAAAGCAAATATACAATAGAAAGCATTAACAAAAGTAACAGTTCATTGAAAAAAACCAATAAAACCAGCAAAATCAATAAAATCATCATAAAGCTGACTATTCATGACAAAAATGAAAGCAGACAGAGCAAAAGCTACTAATACCAAGAATGAAAAAGGGGATATTACTATGATAGGGCCAAAAAGAGAGGAAGAATGTACTAGATACATGCAACAATGTCAATGACTCTCCAAACATTAAGTTGAACAAAATAGCCCAGACACAAAAGGGAACAACTATGCGGTTCCTTTGATTGAGAAATTGCTTCATGGAGAGAGAAACCAGAATAGCAGTTACCTACAGGCAGACTCAGAACCATGGAATTGTTGTACACCTTGATGGGGACATTGGCCAAAGTCATTGCCTCTTACGATGAAGACCTGTGCAGTTCACTGTATGTCAACTTTACCTCCATTTTTAAAAATTAATAGAAAGCAGTGTTTCAGCAGAAGTTCAAGAGATGTCTGAGACCAGTACTAGACCAAATTTATCTGTAACTCTCCTCGGGATGTAGCCTACATAGGTTTTTTTGTTTTAACACTTCCAAAGTCCTTTATTGAGTCGGCAAGGCTGGGAGCTGCCCTTGGAACGGGGTCCCAGTCTATGGTGTCCCTGTCCCTGTTCCTGACGGGGGCCGGTGGCTTCCTCTGAGAGGCTACTTGGTTGGCTCCTTCTGGAATTCCCAGCCCTCCCTGGAGTACTCGTGGGCCTTGGAGGGAGCCAACAACAGGGCTAACCTCACCATCGTGATGCCTGAATCCCAGGACTCCCGGATGTGAAAGTTAAGCTTTGGAGGGGCTGGGAGCTGGGGTATCTTCAGATGGGTCTGCTCACACGCGTACTTGCTGAAGTGGTCCGTGGCTGGAGGGACTACCATTACCTCCCCAGCATTCTGAAGGACGGCCTGGCTCTTGTTACTAGGGTGACGGAGTCCAAGGAAACACGGCGTTAAACATGAAACATCCTGTTGATAGCTGTGTAGCATTAGCACTGTTATTAAAAATGTTAGCGTGAAAAGTGGAGGTTCTATTTTGCCCAGTCTTCACCCAAACTGGGGTAGTTATGACTCTTCAAAGCAGTTTCTGGAGGAAGAAGGGACAAACAAACTGACAAACAGCCTAGGCATGAACTAAAATGCTCGCTGACAATGTCACAGGAGATGAATATAAAGGAGTAAGAGTTAAATGCTCTCAGGTCATTTCCATGTTCAGGAGGATAAAGAAAATGCTCAAAGTATGAATGTGAATAATTTCAGAGTATCTGGCAAAGTGCTCACTTGGAAAATATATAAAGAACCCCTAGAAATGTGAGGCCCAACAAATATTTTTTTTAATAAATGAGGGAATAAATGACTGCAATAAAATGAAAAGGAGGCCCAGGAAACCATATTCTCTTTCCTGTCTCTGGAAGTGTTTGGTGAGGAGGTGATGTGTGGAGCTTCTGGAGCTGTACTGAGACCATGAGGAAGGAAGCTCGAAGGGGAAAAGTCCAACACACTAGGACGGCAGAGTGGACAGATGAAGAAAACCCCGGTTCCAAGCACCACATTCTCCTGAATGGGCGGATGACTGAGGTAAAGCCAATTGGCCTCCTGGAACAGGAGAGACATGAATGCTGAGGAAGAAAGGGTGTCTCTCTATCATTCCCATACCCTGTAGGTGTCTGCTACAAGGACTCTGGAGCTCAGAGCGGTCTGGAAGCCATCCTGCCACCCCCTGAATGGAGCATGTTTGAGAATGAAGAGAGGAAGGCAGAAAGAGAGAGCACAAAATCCGATGGCATCATTTGAACTCCGGGCTAGAGCCCTGCCTGAAACATCTGCCCTTCCCCTTCCTGCTTAATTCAATAAACCCACCCCCCTTTTGTTTAACCCGTGAGCTCTGTTTACCATTTTTAGTCATTTGTAAGTGAGACTTCAGTAATAGAATAGCTTAGGAATTTTCATTGATCGGAAAAGGGAAACATTTCCCTATGAAAAACATTTCCCCTTGTAATTGCCAACAATAGATGGTTCCTGAAAAGACTCACAGAAATCACTAGGTAAGCATTCGATCACTCTGGTGCCCAAACCGGGACCTGCATCTGAGTTGTTGGGGAAAGTAGCTTGAGCTCAGGAGACACACGGTGGATGCTGTTGACCTTTCATGTATACTCTGCTTTGCATGGTTCCCTGAGAGACTGAGTCTTGATGCAGGTAGCTATTCTGGGAAGCAATCCTAGGGAATGGAGAGATCGGAGTAAGTCGAAGAGAACAAAGAAAGCCTGGCCAGCGTGCGCTACAGAGCAGGCTGCTGCCCTGGGCACCTGGGGCCCAATCCCAGCGGCACTCTTCCAGGAGCCGTGCAGAAGGTCAGAATTGTCTACTGCACAGCGGTCCACCTGCACGCAGGTGGACCTGGTTCCCGTCCCCTGTTGTTCAAGGATCGCCCCAGGCGTGTTAACTCCCTCAGCGTTCCCAGTTTGCACGCGCCCCATGAGGCTGTCAGAGAAGCCTGGGACAGAAAGTGACATTTGGAGCAGTCGAGGGGCCCCCGGGGCGATGCTCACGCACGGCTGGCTGGTTGTCGTAAGGAGCAAAAGCAGAAAGGTGAGCACAAAGGGGGACCTGAGATGCGTATAGACTACGCCAGACCCAGACTCCACAGAGAGAGATGTGGAGCACATCCCTCACACAGCACCAGCCAGCTGGGCTCGTACGGACTCGGTTCAGGCTCAGATCCCAGGTTCGGTCCGCCTCTGCGAGGGAGCCAGCTTGGATTCCCTCTAAAGAAGAACTAGGAGGCCTTCTTCTGAGAATTCTAAACAGAATATATCACAGGGGTCCTTCCCTGGGGGACTCTGAACCACAACGGCAGCGTCACAACAGAGGTTTTTAAAGGGGATGCAAAGGCGATGCGGCCGTTCTTATTCTGACCCATAAAACCTGAAAGCTTTCCAGAACCAACAAATCCTAGTACCAGTGTTTCCTGGAAGTGGAAATAGAAAGGAGCGATACTTGGCCAAAGGCACTGAACAACAATTAAAGGTGCTGACAACGACAACACAAAGCCTGGTTCTCAGGACTGGAAAGAGTCAGAGCATCCTGCTGGTTCCTGCTGGTACCTGGGCAGGGTACAAATACCACAGGATTCGCAACGAAACCGACCCGACTTTGAATCCCGGCTCTGACACTTTCTAGCTACATGACTTTGAGAATGTCATTCCAGCTCTTTGAGACTCCATGGCCTCATCTCTCAAGTGGTGGATGATAATGTCAGCTTCCCAGGATTGTCGAAGTTAGAAATAATGCACAGAAATTACCAGCCCAGTGCCTGGCACATAGAAGGTATTCAAGAAAAGACAGGGAGAAGGAATGAATGGAGGAAAGGCAGAAAGGTAGAGGAAAGCAAATCCTATATCAAATACTATGGTTTGCAGAAAGTACACCCTGACTGCCCCCACATTATCTTAAAACAGAAGCAAGGAAAGAGACCGCTTTTCTACACCAGAGTGGAGACCCCAGAGAAGGGTCCTCCGCACACAGCTTTAAGGTCAGTTCAGAAAGCCCACTTGGGCTCTTCACTCAAGCAGCCCTGAGGATGGCCTGAGTGGCCCTTTGCCTGCTTAGGGTGGAAAGGCCAGCCTGGGTTCAAAGTCCAGCCCTTATCTCCCCGCCCAGTAGTCGTGGCTAGATCACTGGGGTTTGAGATGTCGGTGAAGGCAGCTCCTGGCCAGGAAGAAGGAGGAAGAGGATCCCAGAGACAGGGCAGCTCTTCCTGACTACCCCCATGGGGTCTTGTCCACCGCAGCCCAAGCGGAGGCTTGTCCCAGGTCCCAGGTGTCCTGTGGGCCCACACACCCTCATGGGGGGAGAACAATCGGAACACACAGAATTAACTCCTTCCTCCTGGAGTTTGGGAATTATCACCCTTGTTTATTTCTTGGGCATGTTCTCTCTTACATGTGTTGTTCCTCTGACTTGTTTCTTTGGCAAAAAAGGAGGAAGGACGGTACAGTCAAAAGAAGGTACACGTTGTTTTCTTTTCATGATCTCAGGGGGCGAAGGGTTGTGCTTAAGAGCAGTCACGACTCCTCCATTCTGTACATTACTCACCACAGAGGCTTTTAGTTTCTCCCAGTTTTGTTTAGTAGAGGGGGAGGGGCTGAAGCAGAGCACAGCCAAAGGAGTCTCTCACTGCCCAAGAGGGGCCAGGAATGGTTCTTCTTCGGGGGTGAGGTCACGTCGGGTACCCGCCTGACAAATGGCCCATCCGCCGTCAGTCTTCACAGCCCCAAATGGCTCGGGTTGGCGGTGGCTGCCAGGCCCTGCTGTCCCCCAGCGACGACCAGCTCATCTGCGCTGGCTCCTTGGCTCCTGGGTCTGACAGGAACGGGGCTCTTCGGCCACCTGGGATTTGCCCCCAAGCACCTGCCGGACCCTCTGCATCCCTGGGAAGGAGAAGTGACAGCCCCGTAGCACGGATGGCTGAGAGGGCAAGGCTGGGCAGGCTGAGGTTGCTAGAGCCACAAGTGGGACGAGAAGGGGGAGCGCAGAATGAAGGGTGCGGCGGGGTGGGGAGGTCACTTACCCAGGCAAAGCCGGTGGGCCTTGTCCGAGAAGACCAAGCGGAACCAGCCGGGCTCTTTACACTCGAAGGTCTTGCCACAGGACAGCAGCACCTTGTTGTCCAAAAAGCGGCGCCAAAGCAGCATTTCCTCCTTAAAGGTGGCCTCAGGCAGGAACTGGGAGGGTGGGCAGGGGCTCAGGCTGCAGACGAGACACCCCTGCCCCTCACCTGCCAGAGAAAGGCTTCAACTACCCCCAGGCCTGCGGTCCCACCTGCATTACCTTCCTCAGGTCAACCCAGATGAAGAAGCCCGCCCCGCGGCTCAGGAAGGGGATGCCCAGGGCCCGGAGCTCTCCTGCCACATAGGTGTGGGCAGCCTTGAGCCGGGCATGGTTCTCCGGTAAGTACACCTGGTTGATCCAGTCTGTTTGGGTGAAAAGAGAAGCCAACAAACAAATCTCTCACCAATCCTCCACGCTGTCCCATGAGTCTAAATGCTGACAAGAGAAAGGCCACGAGCTGCCAAGACCCTTTCCCCAGCTGGTGGATGGGGGCCACAGGAATATTCCATGTCCGGTAGAAAGCACCAGAAATCCAGATACCTGGCCTCACAGCTCCCAGGCCCGCGGACACAGGGTCCCTCAGGGTGCATATCCTAACTGAAGGATGGCCCACTCACACACTGATGCTTCCAAGCCACAGATGCTGCCGTTCAGATCCCAGGCAAAGACAAGACGCAGGGCCTGGGGCAACTTCACCTCCCCATCCTCAGCTTTTCTATTAACTTTCTTTGGTGTCCCATTTGATGAGGGTTTCTTAATTGTTTTGTTTTTTTTAAATGATTTGATGTTTCTTTTTTTGAGAGAGTGAGAGAGCACAAGTGTGCAAGCAGGGGGAGGGGGCAAAGGGAAAGGGAAAGAGAGAATCTAACCCTAACCCCAGTGCGGGACTGGACCTCACAACCCTGAGATCATGACCTGGGCTGGAAACCAAGAGTTGGATGCTTAACTGACTGCGCCACCCAGGCGCCCCCACCCCCCTTTGATGAGTTTTAACACATGTACACATCTGTGTAACCCACCCCCTGCAGGCAGGACACCGAGCTGTTCCCTCACCCTCACCCCAAAGAACACCCTCGTGCTGTTCATAGTCATGTCACTCCCCTGCTCCCCACAAGCAGGGGTCCATTCTCCGTCACTCCGGTTTTGCCTTTTCCAGAATGTCACAGCAGTGGGATCATACCGTCATGTCACCTTTTGAGACTGGCCTCTTACACTCAGCACAATGAGCTTACTCTGTGTGGCCCTGGATCCCGCTGCAGAGCCGTGTTCCACTGTGTGGATGCACCCCAGCTTGTCCCCTCCTTCATCCTCAGAAGGACATTTGGGGTGATCATGAACAAAGCAGCTATAAAGACTCACTTGGTGGGTTTTGTGTGACCATAAGGGTAAACAGCGGGGAGTGGGATTGCTGGGCCATTTGGGAAGCATGTGTTTAACTCTGCAAGCAACCTTGCTTTCCGCAGGGGCCGCGCCCCCTTCCGTTCCCAGAGCAGCGTGAGAGTTGAAGCTGCTCCGCATCCTTGCCAACACATGACGGTGTCACTACTGTTTTAAGTTTTAGCTGTTATAGCAGGTGGATAGTATCCAGTCCTCATTTCCACATCTATAAAACACCGGGAGAAAGTACAGGAATATCTGCCTCCTAGGATTCTGGGGAGGGACCAATGAGTTGGTGCAATGAGAACATCTAGCAGGGCTCAATAAAAGGTGGCAATTACAGATCGCCTTTGCTATCCAGACTCACTATCTGAGATCCTCGTCGGCAGAGATACTTCCATTATAACCGTTTTCCCTCTGTTGCTTCTACTCTCTCTTTCTTCAAGGACTCACAGCTAATAATGATGAGTTTGTGTTGACTAAGTGCCTATTATATCCCAGGTATCATTCGAACCGACAAATCACACGAAGTGAGGTTTGGGGAGGTGAAGGAATGTGCCACACGGCCAGGAACTGATGGAGTCGGCTATGAACCCAGTCGTGGCCCTGGGTTCTCGAACACCACCCTAAATTCTTCTCATGAGAGAAGCACCCATGATCCCTGGCCCGCCCCCGACTGACTATAACCTCCCCCCCACTTCTCAAATGACCAGGCCCAGGCAGTCACCACGGTCCCGGAGCAGCTGCGCCATCTGGTACTGGACCAAGCCACTGAGGCCGTGATAGCGGCAGAGGGAAGCCACCGCAGTGGCCACGTCCCGGTTCTCCGTGTACAGCGTGCCAAAGCGGAGCCCAGACATCCCGAAGTCCTACGGAGAAAGGCAGCCTGAGCAGTGGCCAGCCCTCCACCGGGGAAGCTGGTTCCACCCACCTCTCTGCCCTCCCACCTCCCTGACATCCCGAGGCCAGCCAGGAACCTACCTTGCTGGTCGCCCACATCACGTGGGTCCTCTGGGGGTCAGGCAACCTGCAGAGAACACAGTGTGGGAACGGAGGCAACACAGATCCACAAAAGCTCATACGTGTTTGGATGGATTTGGTTCTGGGTCTGTGTGAAACCCTGGTTTCATCTCTTGAATCACCAATTCCTACACATCCTTTAGAGCCAGGGTCAGCAAACTACAGCCTGCAGGCCATACCCGGCCCATAGCCTGTTTTTGCAAATAAAGCTTTATTGGAACACAGCCATGCTTTTTCATGTACATACTGTCTATGGCCGCTTTTGTGCTATATGGCAGAGTTGAGTGAGAGACCGTAGGCCTATAAAGCCTAAATATTTGCCATCTGATCCAAAAATATTTGCTGGCCCCCAATCTAGAGCTTAGCTCAAATTCCACTTCCTCAAACAGATCTTCTCTGAGCACCTCCCAGTAGACTGGGCCCATTGGGGACCCCAAGCAGATCCCCTCATGCCTCCCCAGACTTGTCCTTTTTAGCACTTATCAAAGCCACAATCAAATGACTGTGTATTTAGCTGCTAAAATGTTTTTTCTGGGGGCGCCTGAGTGACTCAGTCGGTTAAGCATCCAATTCTTGGCTTTAGCTTAGGACATGATCTTGCAGTTGTGGGATTGAGCCCCGAGTCAGGCTCTGCCCTCAGCATGGAGTCTGCTTAAGATTCTCTCTCCCTCTCCCTCCTGCTCACTCACTCTCTCTCTCTCAAATAAAATCTTTAAAGTGTTTTTTCTGGCTAGAAACAAAAGTTCCACCTGAGGGGGGCCTATGTCTTTCTCGCTCACTGTTGGATCCCAGCACCGAGCATGTCTGGCACAGAGTAGATGACAAGTCGCTATTTCTCTGCCTCTCACTTTCCTAATCCATAGACAAACAGGAGTAACAACCGTCCACTTGGCAGAGCCTCATAAGGACCAGCTGAGAGAACCAATGGAAAGGACTTCACGGGGTCCAAAGTTCTGAACAAGTAACAGGAATTCTTAGAATCTCTCAATGTCACATTTACAGACTTCACAGGTGATCTGGTCTAAGAGTTTCCAAAGCTGTTGCAGCCGCAGATTCTTGGCTCAGACTAAATCTAATGAAAAAGCCCAAACAGCTAGAAGTGCTTGGCACATGCCTGGGGCTGCAGAAGGATTTGCTGAATGGGTGAGTGAGTGAGTGAGTGGACAGATGGATGATGAAGCTGAAGCTACTCTGGAAATGAGGGGGACAGCACCGGCCAGTTCCCACCCTCGCAGCCCACCCCACCCCCAGGAATCCTACGGCTCTCTCAGAAACCCCACAGAACAACTTGAAAACCCCTGATGCAGCCCGGCCCTCCCATCTTCTCTTTAGGGGATCTGAGGACATTGGGACCAGCTGGATGGAAGAGGAACTGCCCCAGGACAGGTCATGCCCTGTGGGCCGAGCCACAGGGGCCCAGGGACTGGGGCTTGGCAGAGTTGGCTGTGACAGGGCAGACTCACCCTTCCAGGCTCAGGACGCTGCAGTAGGCCGCCGACTTCTCAAACACGGACAGCATGTAGACCTCATCCACCATCACGTGCAGCTCGTGCCTGGGGGGGCAGAGCCGGGGAGGAGACGGCTTGCTCTGCAGGCCAGATAGGTCCCCCATGGTGGGGAAGCAATGACTCAGAAACCCAATGGGACTAGGGTCGAGCCCAGGGCTACCAAACTTTTTTCCAGAGACACCTTTCTCATGTCTCAATTTTCACACAGGAAGCCGCACACACAAAGCAGATGACAGTGGGGCTTTTGAAGAACTGTGGAGGAGAGGCGGAGGCCTCGGGCACCTCCACGGAAGAAGGGCCCAACTGAGTGCCACACAGGTATGTACAGACAGACCCAGATTCAAGTCTGGCTCCACTGCTCACTCTAAGGCTCAGCAACCTGGGGACAATGACGCATGATGACTAATAGGGTGACTGGGAGGACTGCATGAGATACGGCATGTGAAGAGCTTAGCAGGGTACCCGGCCCCTGGGGGGATACAATATAGGACAGCTGTTGTCCTAAAAAGAAAGAGGGAGAGAGAGAACTAGCACCCCACAAACCCCTGGCCCCTCCACCCCACTGCTGGGAAAGGGCCAAAGCAGGCGGGAGCCCACAGGGGAGTGGACAGGGTAGAAGAGTCTGTACCAAAGCCCACACCGGTATCCTGGTCTGCCAGGACGTTTTGTGGGGTGACTGTGGGGGGGCCTCACCTCTTGGCAAATTCCAGGTAGTCCCGCAGCTCTCCTGGGGAGTAGATGTCGCCCAGAGGGTTGTGGGGGTTGATGAGGATGAGACCTTTAACCTTCACACCCTGAAACCATCAGTGGGGCAGGAAACGCTCAGCTGCTCCTGAAGGCCAGAGCCACACACTCCCACTGAATGGGGCCTGCGGCTGGGCGGGCCCCTGGGGAAATGGGATGGGAACACATCCACGACCCAGCGTGAAGCGGCAAGGGCAGAGAATCACGTATCTGCAGCAGACATCCATATGTGCATCGCGTCAACCGGGAAGGAAACCAGAGGCAGAGAACAAAGCCCAGAGGCCAACAGGCCCAAATGGCAGTAAAGGCTGCCTCTGTTGGTAGAATAACGGGCGGGGGTTGCACTTTTAGAATTCCTACAGCAGGCACATATGACGGTAAGGGCCACGGACGGACTGGAAAGGAACCACGGGAGTGGTACTCGTCTCTGCCTTTCTCCAGGAGGTGTCCTCAAAGGGGATCGTGACAAGGGAATGACCTCCTCGAATGACCAGGGAGACCACTGAACGTCAGACCACTAAGCTCCACACTTGACCCACTGAATCAAACTCGGGTGCAGCAGGGGTGGGGGGTGTTCATCGAGTTCCCTGGTTGACTCTTTGTACACAGGTCTCAGAGTCTTTCTCTAGTGGGAAGACCTTCCACAGGCTCCTGATTGACCCCCAGAATGGTTCCCTGTGACCATCTGACACCCCAACTGCATCAAGGAGCGCCAACCCCACGGTGGGGATGAGATCAGCCACAGGAAGTCCGTGCCCTGCTCAGACCCACCACTCCCAACCTTGGGTTTGACTTGACCGCCAGACCTCAGAATTAGCTCTCTGCAGGGCCATCTCAAGCCTCTCCACGGTGAGCTGGAAGGGGCGTGTGTCCAGCCCAGTGACCTGGAAAAAGACGGAGAAAAGCCACCAGCCCAATTCAGTGATCCCCCAAACCTGAGCTTCTGGGGCCTCTCCTACCCATCATCTCTAGCCTCCTTAGAACAGTCTCTGAAAAAACTCTGGCAGGGTCACTCCCCTCCTTGCTGCCCACCCCATCACATCAGGGACACCTCCGCACTCTTAGTCGGGAAGAGGCCCCACAGATCCTCTGACTAGAGCCTAAGAACTTACACGTTGAGGTCTGCTCTGCCCCATCCTCACCCCACCATTTTGATGTAGTCTCCCTGCGGCTGCCCTTGGCTTCTACACTGACCCCAGATCTCAGAGCCGGGACCTGGGGAGCCCCAGGGGAAGCCAGGTACGGACAGCCTTGGGCAGCAGAAGGGTCTACTCCCCTTGCAGCACGGATTCCTCCCATGTCTGCCCTCAAACTCGGAGAGAGGAAAGTCTTCCCCTACGGGAAGGCCCGGGTCCCACCAGGGTCTCAGGAACTCTTACCTCACTGTCCAGATAGACACAGACCAGACGGACGTGGCCATAGAGATAGACGTGCTGTGTGATGGCTCCATAGTAAGGTGTGGGGATCAGGAAAGCCTCTGAGGGCAGGAACGGGCCAGGGCCTGTCACCCTCTGGCCAGAACACCCAGCCAACCCCGCCCACAGGCTCCACACCCCTCCCAGCCTTCCATGCCCTTGGGGGAACACCGGGGCTACACTCCGTCTCTCAACTCCCAAGCTCTCACTAACACCTGGATCCACTGGTATGAGTCCCCTTTCTGATCATCTGCAGCTGACATGTACTGAATGCTTACTACGTGCTGGGAACTGGGCTAAACGTGTGTTTGTGTGTTATCTCATTTGGGCCTCACAACCGCTCTGGGACATCAGTACTCTTGTCACCCTAACTTTACCGATGAGGACACTGAACCTCAGAGGATCCCTCTGAAGCACTCCACGTGCCCGCTCACTCCAAGGACAGACCGGGATCCAGTGAGTCAAAGCTGCGGGGTGATCTGGGCTCAACAAATGGACAAACGTGACGGCATACAGAATTGCCCAGAGATAGAGTGTGTTCAGGAGGAGTGGATTCTCCCTCCCTGGGGACATTCAAACACAAGGCTGAGGCCATCTGGTTGGGAGGCATGTCATGCGGAAGATTCTAGCTGGAGGGGCAGAGGGGGGCTGATGACCTCCAAGGTGTACCCTAATGCAGAGGCAGGCATTCCCCTAGTTCCGAAGAGGATGCGAGGTCAAGCTGCCCTCCCTTCCCCCAGTCTGCCCCACTCACAGCTCTGGAAGGGGCAGCTTTGTCCTACATGTTCCCTACCCCAGCCACGGGGAGTGGACCAGAGGGAAACAAGGGACCCGAGGGAGCCAACCACCAGCTGGCCAGAAACCCGTCACGTGCATGCTCTCTCTCACGACTTCGCTCCAGGAAGCACAGACACTCAGGGGGTGAGAACGTGCACCTGAGCAGAAAGGTCATGAGCAGGTGGAGCTGGGGCAGCTGCGGAAGGTCCAGAGAGAGGTCTGCACATACAAAGGGGAGGGGGAGGAGGGACTGTCTAACCCCTTGAGAGGTGGAGAGTGGGACACTGAATCCCGTTCTTGACTGTTCGAGAATGGGTAGGAAATTGCCTATCCTATCCTTGCGATGAATCTTCTTCTTATGGTTCAAATCCTGGTTCTTATCTCTGTGTGTGAATCTGACAAGTCACTTAACCCCCTGTGCCCTAATGTCCTCATCTGGGACATAGGGATGGCACAGGACCTACCTCAGAGGGGAGAAGTGAGGATTAAATGGGCCTGTGTATAAAGCCTTAGGCCAGTGCCTGCAACACAGCATGTGGTCAGTAAAGCTCACCCATATGATCACTGTCAGCAAAGCTGGTGTGAGTGGGCCTCTGTTCTGGTGACAATAACCCCTGACCGGAACCCGCTCTCAGTCCCACTATGGCTCCTCTAGCAGATTGTGCTGGCTGCCTACTCTACAGCCATTCCAATTTCCTGGCTAAGAGAGCACCAGATTTCCCAGGGATGACCAGCACTAAGTCCGAGGACGGAGGGCCTCTTCCCCCAGCCCCTGGGGATGAACCACGTTTGGTTGAAGTCCGCTGTGGTTCTTACCCGTCTACCAGGGGCTGCTCTGGGAACGGGTCTGTGAGGCGGTTCTGGCCAGTGACACGTAAGGGGAGCTCTGCTGGGACTTTCTTCAGGAAAGAGTATCTCCCCTGCCCCCTCCCAATAAAACAAAGACACAGGCAAGGCACAGCCTTCCCCCTTTGTCCTGCTTTAGGACCCACTGTCATGTAAGGATGCGACAGCCATCACAGGAAGGGAAAAACCAAGGTCATCCCAGAGACAGGCCCCGAACCCTGGCATCACGTTGACCTCTGAAACTGCCGACATCCGGGTATCTGGTCAAGCCACTCATTAAGCCCCTTGCAGTCTCGTAGTCTACTGTGGCCAAAGGCGTTCTGATGCAGCCCGCAAAGACAGGTAACTGTGGACCCTGCAGGCATAGGGCGGCTCCCAAAGCTGAGCAGGCCATGGGTCACTTACCCCCGACCTCACACAGCACTGTGGCCAGAGCCGAGAAGAGAGAGGCACAGCCATTCAGAACAACCACCTGCAGGTGACACATCCATGTGATAAAAATGAATATCCGTCCAGGAGGGAGCAAGGACCTACAGCTGTATCCAGGCTGGCATAGAGGGAGGGACAGTGCCCTCTGTCACAGCAAAGCCACCAGAGGAAGCCAAAGGCCTCTCTTAACAGCCAAGTGCATCTGTAGCTTATTCTTTGGACCACGCTCTGGATCAACAGAGCAAGGAAGAGGGAGCTGGTCACTCAGAGCGTCTTGCCTGAAGGTATGAAGGCAACGAGGGACCACAGAACAAACTGGAGCAGAAATTGTAACCAAATTATATCCTAAATATCTAGGATGAGGAACACAAAGGGAGGGGGTGTTCCTAATTCCACCTGGAAACAGGTCAAAACCGAGTGAAAGGCAGATCCCAAGCCCACCCTACCCCTGCATGGGTTGGGGGAGGTGGGCAGAAGAGCAGGGGAGAGCCAAGGAGGGGACTACTCACATTCTCTGGCTTAAGGGGTGTAGGCCTCTTGCAGTAGAAAGACAGGAATCTGGCCACTTCCTCCCGGAGGCTAGAGATCAGACAGAGGATGGGCAGCGCTTGTCAGATGATCCCCAACCTACGGTCCATCCCAAAGCTCCTCTGGTGAACCTTCACCCGGATGCCATTAACCTTCTCTGGTTTCCCACGAGGGCAGTGGGGTGAGCGTGGCCTCCACGTCGCAGGGCCCACCAGCCCCCTGCCCCACCACTACCCACACACGGAGACTTGCATTCTCTGTAGTTCCAGGACGCCCGACCCACCTAGTCCGCAGGCCTCAGGGATAGCAAAAGCAGCTCCATCTACATGTAGATCTAGCTAATAGCAATAATGTTATTGTAACAGTAACTAGCGTCAGCGTCACTGTTGGAGCATGTGCATTATGCAGGAGTTACCTGGGGAATTTTACTCATTTAATCTTTATAACAACCCTATGATGCCATTATTATTCCCATTTTACAGACAAAGAAACTGAGGCTTGAAGGAACTAAGTCACCTGCTGGTCAGTGGCAGAGTCCACACTCGAGCCAGCAGGCTGTCTCCAGGGCCCTCCATCCTCATCACTATAGGAACATGCGCTTTGGAACCAAGTCCTGTTTGGCCACTAAGCCCCTAGGACAGCGGCTGCCCCCAGCAGGTGTTCACTAAGTACCAACTCCAATTAGCATTATTTAGCACACCCCATCTGACCAGGAGGAAAACGCCCTCGCCAGCAGCCCCCCAAGGCTGATCCTGGTTCCTGTAAAACTACTGAGAGAGCGGAGACAAGGACTCCATGCCTGAAGGCCCTCCGCAGGCCTCAGACCTAGGGAACGCAAGCGACGGAGCTCCTGAGCTGGGGAGGACAGCAGAGGGACTAGATCCCTGCAAACCCTCCAGGAGACCCCAGGATCGCCAGGCCCCCAGGACGGGCCCTCGGCCTAAGGCAGGCTTTCTCCACCTGCCATATTCACATTTGGGGTGGGATAATTATTTGTTGGGGGGGCTATCCTGGGCACCGTAGGAGGTTTAGCAGCATCGCTGGCCTCTACCCAGTAAATGCCAGTAACAGCCCCTTCCCAGTTGTGACAACCAGAAGTGTCTCCAGATGCCGTAGGTCCCCTGGGGAGCAAGACCACCCAGGGCTGAGACCCACCGGCCCACGGCAGCTACTTACAACCAATGTCCCCTCCAGTCAGGGTACTGCAGCAGGGACGGCTCCACCCGCAGCATGTCGCTCTGGCTCAGCTGGGGACAGAGGAAGAGCGGGGCTGAGGGCCACACACCCTCTTGGTGACCACCGGCGCTTGCCCCCGCATCCACACTGCACCCAGGCCAGTAAAGCCCGGCCTCGGTCCGCTCATCAGAGAAACCAGCAGAAAGACAGCACAGGCACGGCTTCTGCCTATTTTGCAGATGAGGAAACCGAGGCTCAAAAAAGTGAGGTGACGCAGCCAAGGTCATGGAGCTGGCAAGTGGCAGAGCTGAGACAAAACCCAGAAGGTCTGACTCCTAATCCAGTGCTCTTTAAACAACACTGCCATCTCAAAACCTGGAGGGGTGGGGGTGCCTGCGTGGCTCAGTCTGTCAAGCATCTGACTCTTGATTTCCACTCAGGTCGGGATCTCAGGGTCGTGAGATTGAGCCCCATGTTGCGCTCCGTGCTCAGCAAGGAGTCTGCTTGAGCTTCTCTCTCTCTCCCTCTCCCTCTGCCCCGTCCATGTTTGTGCACACTCTCTCTCTCTCTCTAATAAATAAATAAATCTTTTGAATAGATAAATACATAAACAACCCAGAGGGGTGGATTTGTAGAGGTAGGGATAGAGACCATGCTGCTCAGCTTCTCCCTGGGGCGACAAAAGGCGTCCCAGAATTGGGTGCCATCACCTCGGTGTTGGCTCCAACTTCTGGAGGGACTCGGGCCATTGTGTTCCTACAGGCTCGGCTCCACCTTACGCTTCGGAAAGTGTGGCCATTTCTACACCGTCCCCACCCTGACCAGGTGCTGGGTTAGTAACTCGCTGGGCATCACAGACACGACGTCAAGGAAAGGCAGAAGTCTGGGGGAGTGAACCAAAGGAGAAGGGCGGTCAGCCACTCGTCTATGACGCCAGCCTCTCTGTCTCTCCCTCGGCCCAGGGAGCCGCGCCGTCCAGCAAGGCCGTGGCCACGCGTGCCTCCTGAGCACCTGGAACGCGCCTCGTCTGAACTGAGACCCACTGGATTTGAAAGACTTGATATGAAAACAGTACGTAACATATCTTAATTTTTCAGATTGATTACATGTTGAAACGGTCCTATTTTGGATGTATGGGGCTAAATAAAATATATTACTAAGATGAATTTACCAATTTCTTTTTACTTACCTGACAGAAAATTTTAAGTTATATTCGTGGCTCACGTTTTACTTCTATTGGACAGTGCAGCAGGGAACTGGCTAGATAGAACATGCATCTTAAGCCCCCTTCCTACACCCCTCTCCCCTTGGGTCTTGGATTTGTCACCTCGGAAATAAGTTCCTCTGGGTTAGCCGTCGCTTTCTCTACCATCCCAAACTTTGAGTGTGTGGCCTTGGGAGACACATTTATCAGGCATTTTCACTGGTTTGCTAGAAATGGCTCGAACTATTAAGTTTCCAGGAATTTTATATGCTGTGTTTTAAAAAAACAGCCATTTAAAAAAATTAAATTCTATAAATGTATAAATAAGTAAATTACACTAAAAACAAAGGTAATAACTAAAACATCACTGCCTCTGATTATGTTACTACATTTTTTTTAGATTTTATTTATTTATTTACGAGAGAGTGCGCACAAGCATGGGGAGTGGCAGGCAGAGGGAGAAGCAGGCTCCCCACTGAGCAGGGAGCCCGATGCAGGGCTCGATCCCCGGACCCTGGGATCATGACCTGAGCCGAAGGAAGACGCTTGTTATAATGTATATTATTACATTTTATGTGTGTTCTTGAAGCTATTTCCATCTTGTGTCTACATGGTGGGGACACTACATAATGGGTGCCACAACCCCCCTTTGCCCAACTTTGTGTGCAGGGATGTCACATCCGTGGCCTGAAATCAGCCACGGTGGAGTATTTACACTACGGGAATTAGCAAAAGCTGCAAATCAGAGTCCTCCCTACCCCAGACGTGGTTGATAAATACTGACCACACCCCACTGAGTGCTCCCCCCCTCCCCAGCCGTGAGAGCAGGAGGGACTGAGTATGGGGAAGAGGTGAAGAAGCAGGACCAGAACAGGGAAGTGGCTCGCCCAAGACCACAGAGAAAGCTGTCCCTGAGGCAGATCTGGAACCGGGGTGGGCTGACTCAGGCCAGGGCTGCGGAGGCAAGCGGCAGGCTCTGGTCAGGGAAGCCTTCAAGGGAAGTCCAAGAGCAGACAGTCCCTGGGAGCTATTGATGCCACTCAGAGGTGCACCAGGACTTACCCGCCTGGACAGCAGGTCAAAGCAGAGTTTGTTCTCACTGGTGCCCAAGTTAATGATGCCCTGGAGACAGAGATACGGAGGCACGGTGAGCATAGCCGAGGGGTCCCAAAGGAAGGCCCGAGATGCACACCGAGGCAGAAAGGCAAAGCGGGAGTGGTCCTGCCATTCCAAACACCCTTCCTTGGCCTTCCCATGAGTGTGGGCTGGACCTAGTGACCCAGTTCTAACGAACAGAATATGCAGATGTGACATCTTGCAAGAATAGGTTATAAAGTCCCTGGCTTCCATCCTGGGTACTCATGGTGTCTCCTTCTCTCTTGGATCGCCTGCCCTGGGGGAAGCCCGCTGCCATGTCATGAGGCAGTCCTGTGGAGCTTCCCATGTGACCAGGGACTAGGGCCTGCCAACACCCACAAGAACGAGCCTGGAAGTGATCCTCTCCCGTGCCCCCCACCAAGTCAAGCCTAAGATGAGACCACAACCCTGGCATCACTGCAAGTTCACAGAAGATTCTGAGCCCGAGGCACCCACCCAGATCCTGAATCCCAGAAATTATGAAATGTTTCTTTTAAGCTGCTGAAATCTAGGGTAATTTGTTACACAGCAACAGATAACTATACAATCCTTTGCTTTCTTCAGGTCTCTACTCGAATCGTCACCTTAGAAAAGTGGCCCTCTGTGACCACCTTACATAAAACCGCAACATCCCCAGACCGCCCCATCGTTCTCTATCCTCTTTACCCTGCCTTATCTTCTCTACAGCACTTATCACCATCTATTACAGGGATTTTTTTTTTTTTTTTTTTTTGGTCTGTTCCCCATCTGCCTCCCCCAGTAGAACAAAAACTCCATGAGGGCAGGAACTTTGCTTTTGCTCACGGATGTAACCCCAGCATCTAGAACAACCTCTTGGTCAAGGTAGGGCATCCCACCCTGCAGTCCTCCCTTGGGGTCCAGTGGGGACAGGGGTCTCACTCACACTGGGGTTCTTATCCTCATCATACTCGTCCATGTGGTAGGTCCTGTAGCCCTCTTCTGCCGAGTCCCAGAACCACTTAATGATGTCTCCCCTAGAGGACAGGTAAGAGCTGTCTGAGGATAACATGGCAGTGGGATCACCCACTCCACAGAACTCTGGCACCTTCCGGTCCGGTTTTCTGGAGCATTCTCTTTCCAGACCATCCTCGTAGTTACTGTCCAGGTCCTGTGTGGAGGCTGGGCCCGGACAGGTGGCAGGTGCCCTAGATTCCTTCTGAGGCAGAGTGAACATCTGCAAAAGGACAAAAGTATTCAGGGCCTGAATTCAGCATTCAGAAAAGAAGGGCTTTTCACAGCAGCAAACCTGAATTGGGAGTCAAGAGGTCCTTCCCATTCTCCGTCTGCCCGTTCCTTTATGTTTATGTATCACCATTTCCTGTGTCCCTTACTAGTCGTAACCATGTGTACAATGGCGTCAACAAGTAAATCCTCTTAAGGATCTATTCAGGCCCAGGGGCTGGGCTTGCTACTTTTATATGATGTCACGTACAGCTGCTTTCGCTTGTTTTACATTTATGGGAGTTTTTCATTCTGCAGCCTGAGGGGTCACCAACGTTCTTTTTCCATTCTTGCTGACCTCAACTTCAAAACACCAGGGTAATATGTTCTGACTTAAGCAGAAAGAGCCCGGGAGCCCCAGGGGTCTTGCGGTGATCGATGTCAGCGGGGCTAAAGGGCAGGAGATCGCTTGGTGATCGGGAGCGGGCGGTGGGTGGGGACCAAGGGGAGGACGACTGGGCGTCTCCCAAGGGCAGGCACCCCGGCAGAGCTCCAGGGGCCGGCCTCCCGCAGGTGGAGGGAGGCCCAGGCGTCAGGAGAGGGTGGTCTCCTGCCGGCGGCTGTGCGCTCCTCCACTTTCTAAGCCACCTTCCTCATGGGCAGAGCGCGCGTAAAACCGCAGGGCACCGGAGGCTATAAATGTATGAGTTCCGTAGATAGAGAAAGCGCTTAGAGCCAAACCGGGCTCGTGGCTCCAGTTCGGTAAAGTAGGTTATGCTCGCTCCTCGCCGAGTTCCGGGTCCTGAGGCAAGCCCACACACCGAGCGCCGGGGAACAGCCAGCGGCCCCGACCCCCGGGGCGCTCCCGGGGGCAAACACTGCTCCCCGAAGCGCCCTCCCCGCCCCACGCCACGTGGCCGGCTCTCCCGGGCGCTCACCTCGCTCCCCACCAGCGACACGCAGGCCGGCGGACGGGCGGCGCGGCGGGAGGGAGGCCGAGCGCGAACGCAGGGCTCCGGGTTCCGGCCGCGGGGCTGCGGCACTGCGCGGGGGCGGGGCGCCGCGGAGGGACGACCGAGGCCTCGGCGGGCGGCTGAGCCTCGCGAGACCAGCCGGCTGCGGTTCCGGGACGGGGAAGTGGGGGCCGGGCCGCCCGCGCGCCCGGAGGCCCCGTTCGCTGCCCGGCAAAGCGGGATCGCAGCCCCGGGCCGCGCTGGGGAGGCGGGCGCCGGCGCGGCGGAACCGTGCGCCCCGGGCCCCTTCCGCTGCCCGGACCCGGCCTCCTGGACGCCCCGGCGTGACTCCCGCGCTGGCGGGATGGGGAGGGGGGTCCAGCCGCTCCGGGTGCCGGATCCCTGCCTCCGCCCCCACTCTTCCCTGTGCCAACCCCTTTCCCGGCGGCAGCAGAAGCCGAGAAGACCACGGCGGCGAAGGGTCGGCCTGCGGGCCCTGGTCTTCCTGGCTGGCACGTGGGGGCGCCTCCCTCTGCCTCCCGGCCTCAGTTTCCCGAGTTTGAAGCAGTTCGAGTGCCGGAGGTTACTTGGCAAACATATGCCTGCTTGCACCCACGGAGAAGCCTTTCTGGTTAAAGCGAGGGCATCCTTAAAACATCTTTCCCCTAGGAGAGTTTTTCCACTGGCATTTGAAATTCTCTTTTCGCTCCATGGGACATTTGTTGAACTCTGCCACAGACCCCTACACGTTCTGGGGCTTCGGCAGTGAGTTAGGCTACCCAGGCCCCAGCCTGCGCAGAGCCTTGAGTCGAAAAAGTCTCCTTTCCCCATGAAATAAGCAGGATCCTTCAATACAAGTATGGCGGGGAAGACTTAGGGGTCTTCTGACCACTCCAGTTCTTTTCTCTTTGGCCTTGCCAGGAACATTGTGACCTTAAGCAGCTCTCATGACTTTGTTGGTCCTCTGTGTGATGTTCTGTAAAACAAGCCAGTTCTCTCCATTTAAGTCATATTCTATGTAATTCTGGTTAAGTACTCTTAATGAATGCCTGTCTTGTGCCAGATCTCTGCAAAGTGCTGGGATAGGGTGATAAGCAAAACAAACAGTGGGCCTGTGGTTGATTGGGAAGGCAGACATACAAATGGGAGGACTAATTTTTTTTTTTAAGATTTTATTTATTTATTTGACAGTGAGAGAGGGAACACAGCAAGGGGAGTGTGAGAGAGAGGCAGGCTTCCCCCTGAGCAGGGAGCCTGATACGGGGCTGGATCCTGGGATCATGACCAGAAAAGAAGGCAGACGCTTAACCGGCTGAGCCATCCACGCACCCCAAATGGGAGGACTGTTAAAGAGATTACCCGTGCCATGGAAGCAAGCAGCAGGGAGATTCACCCCCAACCCCAATACATGCATTGGCCCCACATGGGAAGCCCTACACACATATAATTGCTATAAACACTAAGGAAATGATGGCTGAGTTCTGAAAGGTAAGTCCTGGCTAGCTGGTGAGAGGGTGGAGTCTTGGAAATAGGGATGCATTTGATAGGGCCTTGAAGGTCAGGGTCAGTCTGGAACATTAACATTCTCAGGAATTGAACTTAAATGGACACATTTTCTTGAAAGACACAAGTTGCCAAAACTGACACAAGAAATAGAAAATGTGAATCGCCTGATATCTGTTACAGAAATTAAATTTATGAGTAAAAACCTTCCCGTAAAGAAAACTCCTGTACAGATGGCTTTACAGGTGAATTTTACCAAATATTTGAAAATTTAAAAAAAAATTAACTTGACACAAACTTCCAGAAAATTCAGGAACAAAGATTTCCAAAACATTTATGAGGTCAGTATTACTCTGATACCAAAACCAACCATGCATTACTAAAAAGAAAATTATAGCACAATACTCCTTATGAAAACAGATGTAAAATTCTTTTGGTGGAGGGGAGCCCACCGCCCAATGTAAAATTCTTAATATCAAACCAAATCCAACAATATATACGAGGAGGATGCATCCTCCGTGCACTTTATTGCAGGAATAGGACATTGGCTTAACATTTAAAAGATTCAATGTAAGTCCCAAAGATACAAATGTAGGGATCCGAAGGGGCACATGCATCCCAATGTTTATAGCAGCAATGTCCACAATAGCCAAGCTATGGAAAGAGCGTAGATGTCCATCAACAGATGAATGGTTAAAGAAGATGTGGTGTATATATATACAATGGAATATTATGCAGCCATCAAAAAATGAAATCTTGCCATTTGCAATGACGGTGGAACTAGAGGGTATTATGCTAAGCAAAATAAGTCAATCAGAGAAAGACAAATATCATATGATCTCACTGATATGAGGAATTTGAGAAACAAGACAGAGGGTCATAGGGGAGGGAGGGAAAAATGAAACAAGACGAAACCAGAGAGGGAGACAAACCATTAGAGACTCTTAATCTCAGGAAACAAACAGGGTTGCTGGGGTGGTGGGGGTGAGAGGGATGGGGTGTCTGGGTGATGGACATTGGGGAGGGTATGTGCTATGGTGAGCGCTGAGAATTGTGTAAGACTGATGAATCACAGACCTGTACCCCTGAAACAAATAATACATTATGTTAATAATAATAAAAGATTCAGTGTAATTTACCACACTAACACTTAAAACAATTATATCTTCTCTAGAGGTATAAATAAAAACATATGACAAAAATTGAACCCTTATTCATGGGAAAAACTCTCAGCAAACTAGGAACTGAAGGAACTCTTATCTGGTGAAGGGCAGTATGAAAAATACTTACAGTAACATTGTACTTAAGAGTCGGGTGCCTGGGTGGCTCAGTCGGTTAGGCGTCTGACTCTTGATTTCAGCTCAGGTCATGATCTCAGGGTTGTGAGATCAGCTACTCACTGGGCATGGAGCCTGCTTAAGATGCTCTCTTTCCCTCTCCCTCTGGCTCCCCACCCCCCTCATTAAAAAAAAAAAAAAAAAAGGCGAGAGTGACCTCAGTCCTGCTAAGATTGAGAACAAGAATGTCCTCCCTCACTACTTTTATTTAACATTGTACTGGAGGTTCTAGGCAATGCAATTAGAACAGAAAAATTAGAAATATTAAAAAGGAAGAAGGAAAATCACCTTTATTCACAATCAACATGATTGTATACATTGAAAATTCAAAGAAATCCCCTCCCCCCACCATGCTACTAGGGCTAATAATGAGTTTAGCAAGTTCACAAGATACTGTCAGGAGAGGATTCTTCCTGGGTCTCTCATGTTTCTGCCTGTCTTACAAGGAGGGGCACTGACTGCCTTTGTTCTAGGCTGTCTTCAAGGAGATACACACTCACGTACATACACACATATATACACACATGTGTAGAGTGAACAGCATTGGATGATAGCAATAGTGTGTCTCTCCAGAGCAAAGTGTAGGTTTATTACTCAATATAATAAAGATAATGTCTCCTTTGGGGGCCAGAGTTCAGGCAAGCTTACTGCTCACCATAAAAGAATCTTGTTCCTTAAGCTTGGGTTTGCTCTTCTGCAGGACACCCCACGGCAGGTGCAGTCATCAGAGGGTCCTCCTCACTTTTCCCTGCAGTAATCAGGGCTTGGGGAATCAAAAGCTGATACTCTGATTCCTCCTACTGTTGTGAGTAGTAATTCTCTGACCCAGAATTCTCATGCCTTCTGCCAAGAGCCTTCAAAGCTCTTGATAGATACAAGATACAAAAATCAATTGTTTCACACTAGCAAAAAAAATTCGAAAATGAAGTTAACAATACCTTTAGCAGAACATGAAAAGCATAGTATACGGATAAACTAAACAAGATGTGTGTAGGACGAAATTGTGTTCTCTGAAAGCCACAAAGACCTTGCTGAGTGAAATTAAAGACCTAAATAAATGGAAGGAGATTCCATGCTCATGGATAGGGAGATATTAAGTTTTCTCCACTCAACCATTCAAATCTTGACGGGAATGGAATACAAAAGAGTCTATCCCTTCCATGGAAGGCACCATCCCTTTCAACCGAGGGCAGTGTCCTGATGAGACTATTAGGCCCCATTACAGAGATCCCAAGAGCACCTCTGCCTCTCATCTTTCACATCTGCATCTTCTCTCTGGTCCCATGAGCTCCCTCATTCATCCAGCGAATTCCCGCTCTGTGTCCGTTACCCTATTAGTCAACTTCTAACGAACACTGTCTGGTATAAAACAAAACAAAACAAAAAACCTAAAGACTCAGGATTTGCTGGAATACTGCTTTTGTTGATTAAAAAAGAAAAGAAAAAGATTGTCATTGAAGAACAAGAACCACCAAATCTGGACCCAAGAGAGAGGATGGTCACAAAGCCAAGTGACTGACCAAAGCCATCAGTTGGTGCTAAAAGCTCTTTCGTCATCTATAATATGTGGTCATCTGTGCCAGGCCCACGTCACAGCCTCAGTCCTCCGACTGAAGTGCAGATATGCAAGAGCTTTACAGAGAAACTCCCAGGTGTTGTGATTTGAATGGCTGCAAACACTAGAGATGAAAATGGAAGACCTCAGGTTTATCACTAGAGATTCATTTTAAAAGCCTTTTGAGGGGCGCCTGGGAGGCTCAGTTGGTTAAGCATCTGCCTTCAGCTCAGGTCATGATCTTGGGTCTTGGGATTGAGCCCCATGTCATGCTCCCTGCTTGGTGGGGAGTCTGCTTCTCCCTCTTCCCCTGCCCCTCCCCGAGCTTGTGCGCTCTCGCGCTCTCTCTCAAAATACTTAAAAAAAAATTTTTTTTAATTAATAAAAGCCTTTTGAAAAAGCGCAAAGAACTCCTGTTTGGAAGAAGGAACATCTGGCATTACACCCTTATCCTGCACTGCAGCCACACATGAGCAAGGTGGGTGTGATCTTGTGGGATACGATGTCCCATAGGATCCTGACATCTAGAATGTGCTTTGTCAATTAGGGATCACTTTTTTCCTTCCTTTTTCACCTTCCCTGGACAGTATTCTTCACATACAATTTGCCTTAGAATTTAAAAGAAACCCCCACCCCCCCAAAAAAATCTCCCAGAGGTGATACAAAGAGTGTAAAAAAGAAAATAAGCCTAGAATTTAAGTTATATGAAATTTATATGAAATATATGAAATTTATTAGATGCGGACTACAAAAATAAAACCATAAAATCGGGACCCAGCAAGCCCCCACCCCAACCCCCATAAAAACATTTCATGTACACATACATGGCTAGCAAAGACTAAAAAGATGCAAAGCTTCCAAAGCGACAGATGCTCAGCTGGAGAAGGTTGATGACTGGGTCAGAGGAGCCCATTCCCAGAGGGGCCCACTGTTGGTTCAGTCACAACACCAGGCCCAAACCCCAGGCTTCTGGCCCAGAGGCTGATGTCAGGGAGTCCCTGAGCATGTGACTGGCTGCAGCCACTGGGTGGGAAGCAGACCACTCACTCTCTCTGTGCACTCTCCAGTTGCTTCACTCTCAGATCCCTCTTCTGCTCCTCCAGCACCTGGTAGAACCAATATATGGCTAGAGGGTCCAAACACGGACAGAGAAATGAAGATTTAGTGGGTTTGTGGGTGGGCCCTAGACATCCCCAGAGCCTGGCAGACCACCACAGAGCCCCTCTCTCAGGGATGCTGACGTTCAGTCCTCCCTTCTTTGGGATGGATTTCCAAGTCTACCTGCTCTCATGAAGCTTCACTATCCCAGCATCTGCCTGCTGGACACCTTCAGCTCTCATATCAAATCCTGTAACCTGGCTCATGGCCTTGGCCTCATCAGGTTTTCTATCTGCCTCTATTTGCTCAGTCCATTCTCCAAAAGGTATTTCTGTGACATAAATGTTCTTGTTAACAGGTCTATTCCCAGAGGGAGAACAGTATCTGGCACGTGGCGAGACGCAATAGAAAATTGGCAAAATGAAGGTCAGATTCTCTAAAACCTTCAGAGGAGACTCTGAACTCCGCAGTGTAATATATAGGGACCCCCACGGCCCTCCCGGCCTCTCTCCCCTGCCGTACCGCTAGCCCCAAAGGGCAGTGTACCACTTCTTCTTAGTGCACAGTCCCAATGCCCTGCTCCAGGCAGCCACAGAACAGATACCCAAAGAGTGCGGTGTTCTTCACGGGCCTATCTATGGGTTCCTATTTGCAAAGGAGCTCGAGGACGTGAAGGTAGAAACAGATGTCATAGCAGGGCTGGCGCTACAGGCTGCTGAAGGCCAAAAACAAGAGAAGATCCAGGAACTGGGCGATAGAGGAGTTGACAGGGCATCTTTGAAGGAGGCCAGGATCGGGAGGTCGGGACCACTCACCTTGTTTTAGTTGGAGGGGCCTATCCGCAAAGACCATGCGGAACCAGCCAGCCTCCTTACACATGTAGGTCTTGCCTCGGGACAAGATCAGCTTGTTATCCAGGAAGCGGTGACAGAGCAGCAGCTCTTCTTCAAAGGTGCACGGATCCAGGTACTAGGGAAGGCCGAAGGACAGGGCTGAGCCAAAGACACATCAGGCAGGGCTGCCCAAGAATACCACACCTCATTCCCAGAGCTCACCACTTTCAAGTTGATCCAGACGTAGAGGCCAGAGCCACGGTTGAGAAAAGGATCCCCAATGCCTTCAACTTCTTAGTGATATATCTGTGAGCTCTCTGCAGCTGGGAGTGGTAAGTGGGCAGGTACACTCCGTCAATTCACTCTGGACGGGTCGGGGGAAGATAGCCGTCACGGGTCTGGTGGCAGAGATCTGCAGGCTTATCAAAGGCTCCCTCCCTGGGCTTTGTACCAGCTCTTTCTATCCAAGCCGGGCTCTGTGTTATATCTGCGCTGACGGTAGCCATACCCAGCACACCTTCTCAATAGTCCAGTAGGAATGTTCTGATACAAAGAGTCGGGGTGCCCCCAAAGTGGGACAGATGCTGCTGTTGCCAACTGGGCAGATACTCAGAGCCTCACATAGTGGACTTCGAGAAACCTAGATATGCTTGGGGAGGCCCTTAGCCCAGGTGTTCTTAGCACTGGCAGCACATTAGAACCACTTGGGGAGCTTTTTAAAAGTCCCGATGCCCAGGTTATACCTCCAGATCATCTAAACCAGAATCTTTGGGGATAGAGCCCATGTATCAGCATTAAGCTCCCCAGATAATTCCCATGTGTCCAAGGTGGAGAACTCGTGTCCAAAGGGCTAAGAACCTGGTTTCTGCCACATATCAGAGGGCCTGGCACCATGCACGGAGCCATCTGGTTGGATTTCTCCTATCGACCCCTTTCCCCCTGCCAAAGCTGAAAGCAAATTGTTTCTAAACCAGATTATCAAATTACATTAATTTGTATCATTATATCCCAGCTTTCAATTTAAATCCTCCAGCCTGGCATCTGCCCTGTTATAGGGAATTAAAGAAGGGGGGGGCCTTATCTAAGTTTGGGTGATAGCCTTAAATAGAGGGGGTTGGGGGAGGTCTCCTCTAAAGCCAGGATTCACTTGTGACCCATGGAGGAAACTGAATGCAGGTGCCATAGATCTAGCCACACCCACTTGCCCAAATGGCAGCTCTCCTTCGGCCACCTTGGAAGATGAAGTCAAGTCCTATTCAAGGAGTCATGGCATTTTTGGGTCATCTTTGCCTACAGCAAGCCGGGCATTGGGGAGGGAAAACTGACCTTTGCATAGAGACTGGTTTCTGTCTTTCAAGCCTTAGAGAACAATTTGCCTTTCCAGGCACAGCACGAGTTCCCGAACATGAAAGCCCATCTGTGTTTCAGGCCAGCAGCTTCGTCTTGTCTCTGCCTACTGCGCGAGCTGAGCTACAGCCTGCCTGCCTTCAAACTTCCTGTCCTGCCTCCATTAAACCCAAGACCACAAACAGGGTCTCAGTGGATTAGAGGTATGTCAGGGGCCCAAGCAGACCCAGGGACTCCCCCATGGCCATGAGGCCTAGCCACGATCCCAGCCCGGGATGGGACTCGCTGCCTACCTCAGTCCCGAAGCAGCCGGCACAGTTTGTACTGGGTGATGCCAGAGACACTGTGGAGATAGCCAAAAGAGCTCACGGCAGAGGCCACCTCCTTGTTGTGCGTGTAAAGAACACCAAAGCGGAAGCCAGAGATGCCGTAATCCTAGAGGAAAGGAAGTAGAGGGAGGAATACCCAATTTGCCCGCCTCCTGGCCCCCTTTCCTTTCCTACCCAAATACAGGAAGCTGGGGCTTACCTTACTGGTGCCCCAGATCACATGGGTCCTGTTGGGGTCAGGCAAACTGGAGAGGAGACAGTACAATCAAGGGTATAAAGACATATTGAAAGGATGAAAACTTGGGGTCAACGAGGGCAAGAGAGGAAAACAGACTTGAGGTCATTCCTAGACATAAGAGCCTATGGGGCCCAAAGTTCAAGAAACAGTTGCCCCAGTTAACAGCCAGGGAGTCAGCAAAAGGTATCCTTGGGGAACTAGATGGGACAGCTCCCGAGTGCCCACCGAATGAAGCCCAGGCCCCTCAGCCTGGCTCAGAGCCTTCCTGCAGCTGGTCCAAAGCCACCTTCTTGGCAATCAGCTCTTCACACATGTGGGCCACCCACCGTTTCTAAAATATGCTCACCTATTTCTAACTGCCCCACTTCAGATAAAGCTGTTCCTTCTGCCCGGCATGGCCTTGCCTTGCTTTGGCTGCTGGGATCGTATCTTAGGGCCACATGCTACCCTTAAGAAAGTTCTGCCCTATTTCTCTTCTTTCCCTATGCACTACTTATAAAGAAGTTCCTACCCTGACCTTCTGTGGGGCTCTATGTAGACGTGGGACAGTGCACTTTCTACCTTGCCTTCAAGTTATCTCATGTACAAAACAGCATTGCAAAAAGACACGTGGGAGGAAAGAGGATGCTTTGCTCATTTTCACACTCCCAGTGGCACTTGGCCCCAGTTCCTAGCACGTAGCCAATTAAGTTTATGGCCCATGAATACACCCTGCAAAAGCAGGAACCTCATGGCTTGCATTCCAAACTCCAATTGAGGCCAACAAACTCACCTTTCCATGCTCAGAATGCTGTGGAATGTGATGGATTCATCAAACACAGACAGCATGTAAATCTCATCTATAATCACATGTAGGTTGTACCTGCAAGTTGGGCAAAAGAGGGAGAATATTATCTAGGTTCTCTCTCATCTCAACTCCCTTTCTTTCTTGGGCTTCTCTGGATACAGTTCAGATACTCTTACTGCTCTGGCAGCCCATCCAACCCTTCCAAGGGGCATGGTAAGGCAGAAGGGGCATACACCTTAGACCTGGCTCGGGGGTAGGAAGGAATAGGACCCAAAGACACTCAACAGAACATCTAACCCTTCAGCCGTCAAGCAGAGACCAATGCAATGGGGAGGGCTGCGTGTCCCAAAGAGTTTTATATCTGGTACAGGCAGGAGCTCCCACCCAGGGTCCAGATTGAATAGTGGCATTAAGTGGGCTAAGTGTTAATGCAGGTTGTTTTTTCTCCCAACAGCCCTCTGAAGCAGTGCTGTCCTCATGCTCTGCCATGAATTGGTCTGGATTAGAGTTATCAAATTTGGATAAGTGTGATTCTTCTAGAAAATGGGGAGGTTAGCACCCCCTATTGAATAGGGCTATTTCAAGACTCCAGAGATAACTGATGTTAACATGTCCGTGGGAGTGGGACATAAGGGTTCTCTGGCAACACATCTTCACCCCACAAAGTCTGAGAATTTGGCTGCCTCGGTACCTCAGGCCAAGGAGTTGGGAAACGGATGCTGGGAGAAAGTGGTTACATGACAAGAAGAGGAAAAGCAAAAAAGCCAGATCACAATTGTTATGTAGGTGTCTGTACCTGGGCCAAAAAAAAAAAAAAAAAGGCAAAATGGCAAAAAACGTTCAGTTGAAGCATGTGGGTGCATTTTTTTTACTTCAATTTCAGTGAGTTGTACATAGTTTTGCAAAGTATACTATGCAGTAAAAATACTGGGGTAAATGACATCTGGTTCTGACTTCTAGGAACCTTGTTCAGGGACTTCGTGTAGTCTCAAGGGGTGAAACACCTACGTCTTGGCAAATTCCAAGTATTCTTTCAGTGAATCTCAGGAGTAGACATCCCCCAGAGGATTCTGAGGGTTGATTAGCACGAGACCTCTGACCATTTTCCCCTAAAAAAAAAAAAAAAAAAAAAAAACCCCAAATTAAACAAAACACCCCCAAAACATCACTGAGGTGAACATAATAGGTCCCTCACGTCTACCTCAAGTTCAGCCAAAGGTCAAGTCAGGATACCCAGTTTTGGACACATCCCCTCTACCCCCGAGGCCTTTAGTTGGGGTCTCAGCAACTTAGGTAGGATCTGGAACACTCAGCTCTCTTAGCACCCACAGAGGGGGAGCAAGGAGGAGCTCTGGGGGCTGCCCCCAGAGACAGGGGCTCAGGGCTCCTAGGGGGACACGCCCCTGGGACACAGCCCCTTTCAAAGGAGCCCACAACACCTTGGTGAGAACACTGTCCCGGATCTCCGGACCCAGCCCCTCTCAGGGGCAGCAGCACCCACCCTGAAGACATGGGTCCCTCCTTACTGTAAGCGTCGCCTCAAGCAGAGCTTGCTCTAGCTTGTCCACAGTGAGCTCCAACGGGCGGGGGTTCGCGTCCCTGCTCTGGAGGCAAACACGCTGCCTGAGCACCGCCTACTAAGCTTCTAAGCCCTGGTCCCTCGCTCCTCTACACATCGCCCAACACCTCACACCCAGGCCTGCAGTCCCACACGCCCCTCCTTGCCCTAATTTCCCCATCCTCCCCCACTTATATGGGTCACTTATATGGGAGGAGAGCGAGGTCCCCTACCCCTTCCAAATGCCCTTAGGACGGTCCATTGTCTGGGGGGGAAGGGGCCCCATTCTGACCTCACTGTCCAGGTGGATGAGAATCAGCTCAACTTTCGAATACAGGTGGGAACTAAAGACGAAGCCGCCATAGAAGGGGGTGGGGGTCAGCAAGGCCTCTGGAAGCACAGGGAGACAACACTGTCAGTCGGGGGGGGGGCATCTCAGTCGGAACCTGCCAGCCGTGCCCCCCCACAGACAAGTAGCAACACTACAGACAGAGAAGGTTAGTTTGGCAATCCCTCCTACTTGGGGCTTAATTTTTGGCCTCAGGCTCTATAAAAGTTACATTCTTATAAATGTTATGTGGGGAAACACTAGAGAAGGGGAAGAATATTGCTAGGAATGGCTCCGAATTGAGGTTACAAACCCAAACGGGCTTGCTAGCGGGTAGAGCGCTAGTCATCCAGCAGGTCTCACCAGCTCCTGTCCAAACATTAGAAGCTGAGGTCTGTGCCAAGAGAGGGCACTCATCTCTCTGCATGGCCCAGGCTACCTGCACCTGGTGAGCTCCTGGGTTCTTTCCTTCCCCTTCCTTTGGCCTCACGGATGAGTCAACCAAGCAACTACTCCTCTGAGTGAAACTGGCCATCTGGGTAACTTCCTTCTACGCAGCAAGAGCTCATTAAGACCGGAGACTCTTGTTTGGGTGTTGTTAGGAGGGAGACTGAGAACAGATCCCTTGGCCTTATTTGATCTAGAACTAATTTGCCTTTGGGGGGTGGGCAGAGGGGGATACAGGAGTTAGGAAATCTAACTGCTCTAAGCTAATTTACCAGGGCTCTCTGTACTGATGTTGAGTCCAGAAGCCCAGCTAATAATATAATGAGTTGGCTCCAATTGTCACTCTTTCTGAGGCATACCTCCTTGAGGACTGTCCCATGTTTTCCTTCCATATTAAATGGGGACCCAAATCTGTCACTCCTATGGAAATAGTACGAAGATGTTCTAATCAGGGTAGAAGTTCCAGCACTTTAGGGGAAAGGCCTCTGAGTCAAGATATTCTTCTTCCCTAAGGACCAGTGCCCACGAGCTGCTCTTTTCCTGAGGGAAAGCAGAGCCCACTGACTTACCACCTGGATCACACAGAACCATGGCCAGTGTGGAGAATACAGAGGAGCAGCCATTTAGAACAACTACCTGAAGATGCACAGAAGGCAGAAGTCAAAAACCAATCCCCATGTAAGAAGGTCTAGCCCCTTTGTCTCCCTCCCCCTAGGAGGGACAGGCACCAGGAACCTCCTCTTCTGTGACCCATTGGCCTTGGCTCTGCCCTGGCCCTAGGGTCTCTGCTGGTTCTAGAAAATGCAGCGAGTCCCCCAAGAATACAGTCCTCTACCAGGGTGGCAGTGAGGCTTGGAAATGGACTCATATTTTCTGGATCGAGCTGAGCAGGTACCTTGCAGTAGTAGGTCAGGAACCAGGCCACCTCTTCCCGCAGGCTGTGGGTAGACCCAGAGAGACTGTGTGGTGCCCAGGCCCAGGGACCTTTCCTTATTCAAGGTCTAGCCTACGGTCGTTTCCAAAGAGCAAGGCATCCAACCTCATGTCACAGGGCTACTGGCTGACGCCATCAACTCTCCAGGTGATGCAGACAATAGGTGTGAGAGTTTGGACTAGAACTCAGGCCTTCTGAATACAGGGAGGTGCTATTTCTACTACACCAGGCTCCCTCCTGAGGTGGTTTCACTCTAGACATTTTCTGGAAGTTGTTACCCAGAGAAATAGGGAGGTAGCCAACCAAGAATCTGGTGCCAGGGGTCCTTCCCTCCCTGAGAATAGGTGTCTGGGGGCCACGAGACTTTAGATCTAGAAATTACTTACAATGGTTGCCCTGACCAATCAGGATACTGCAGCAGGACATCCTCAATGAAGTTCATATCACTCTGACTCAACTGTTGACAAACAGAGCATGAGGACAGCCAGACCAGGGAAGACCAACCTGCCTCATCCTACTGCTAGGATGCGTATGGGTGTTTGCCCTACAACCCAGGGCCTTATGGAAGAAGAATAGGGAAACATGCCACATGCCCCTTCATGAATGGAGCCCCCAGTCTCCTTGTCATAGGTTACACAAAGAGAATTCACTGAGGAGTGTTGGATGACCTCCACAACCCTACACTTGGGCCAGAGTCTCCCTTGGCAGCCTACCCACCATATACCCATCCAGAGCACACCCCTAAACACAGCAAGCCAGGAGGTCAGAGGTGTTATTCAAGAAGCTGTTTCCCCACTCCCTTCCCTAAACTCCTAAGTCCCATTCCTGTATCTACCACATGCTAAGAAACAGTCTAGGGGGACTGGACCTGATGGTGGGTCCCAGCATGGCCCAAGACTTGGCTTACCCTTTCAGTCTTCAGATCAAGGCAGAGCTTATTCTCACTGATGTCAAGGTTAACGAAGCCCTGGAGATGGAAGGAATCGATCAGTCCACTTGCCCTGCCCTCTAGGGACCTCCTTAAACATTCCAGTAAGGACTCATCTTAGATTATTTCAAATGGAAATCTCACTACCCCACGAGGCAGTTCACTCCATGTCTAACAGCTTCAAGTGTTAGAAAAGTTGCCATAGATTCAAAAATCGTACAGCTTGCAATTTCCCCCTTTAGAGCTACCCAGTACTTCTATCCCTGAGAGCAGGCACTGAGTTCTTACTATGTGCCAGGCCCTAGACTCAGTGCCTCATGCAGTGGCCTTACTTCTCATAACTCCTGAGAAAAAGGTTCTATTATGATCCTCACTTTAAGAGAGGGAGGCTCCGAAATGTGGACTGCCCCACTAGCCACATGACCTCAGGGACGGGCAGAACGCCATCTGCCTGGCCCCAGGGCCTGCCTCATGCCCATCTCTGCTACTTCCATATCAATATGAGGCCCCTTCGAGTTACTGGAGGAGATATAGTTCTTCAGAGTCCAGTGGAGATGCAGGACTCAGTTGGTCCCCAGAAAAAGCTGATGACCATTGACCACATATCACTTAGCTAGAAACAGAAAAGAAGGTAGGATTCGGGCTGTCCTCCACCTTCTGGCTAGAGAGTGTTGTGAACGGCTCCTGCTGGGAGCCTCTCACTGGCTCCCTATCCTAACCTCACCATCCTAACACCTCACAACTCTTGTCACGTCACTCATGTTCCCCAATCTAGCCTCAGGAGCCTCATTTTCCCATCACTCCAAGCCCTTCCCACTTTAAAGCTTTCACACCTGCAGTTCCTCCTACCTGGAAGACCCCCCTCCCACCCCCTACCGCCCCTACCACATGGTTGGCTGATTCAGCCTTTAAGACACCTCAGACCACCCAATCAGGCCTCCCTTTACTTCTCTCAGGTTGTTATTATCAATGTTCCTTTCCCCAGTGCCAGACAATATTCAGCAACTAGACTCAGTTCCATGAGGGTGGGTTTGCTTAGCACTGTGACCACTGTGACCTAGTGGGCAAGAGCAGGGACTGAGGGAAAGCATGCGGAAGAGGGGGGCGGGAAGGACCCAGACACCGCTCTTAACTTTCTTGGCATTGTCACCTTGCTCCTGTGCGCATTCCCTTATCTCTAAGATGACAATAGTGTCTACTTCATGGAACTAGGAAGAGTGAGAGAGAGCCCAGTACTTGGCACAGGACTCAGTAAATCCTAGTGATCGGGGCCCTCGAGGAGGTGTCTCTCCGCAACCCCCATCCTCACCAAGGGGTTCTTGTCCTCATGGTATTTGTCTCCTTGGTACATCTCGTAGTCCTGGAAGCTGGCCTGGTATGACGCAGAGATTTCGATCCCACGGTTAGACAGGTGCTGGCTGACAAATGTCGCTTCGGGATCCTTCAGTTGGTGAACTGGCTGGTCAGGCTGCCCAGCTGATTGGGCCCCCTGCCCACCTCCGACATCCCCCCTCACATCCAGGGGAGGGTAAGACGGTTGGAGCCCCAGGCCACCCGGGGCCCCAGACTGTAGGAGATTGACCAACTGGGACATTAAGTTGCCCAGGAGGGCTTCCTGCTCCCCGGTGGCCTGATGATGCCTTTGGTCCCCCAGCACCAGATCCTGCTGCTGGTGCCTGGTGGCCAACTGCATGATATGCTTCTCGATGGTCTGCTGCAAGTGCATCATCTCCATGGGCTGGGTGCGGGTGCCCTGGCTTCCGAGGCCCTGACCCCTCATCTGACCACAGGGCAGATGGAGGGTGTCTGATTGGTGACTCATGCTCTGGGCCTTTGTCTCGGCCTCAGCAGGCTGGCTGGAACCTGCAGATAGAGAGGGAGACCATGCACTGCAGCAAAGGAGACTCTCCTCGACCCTCAGGCTCAGGCCTGATCTCCGGCTCCTCACTGCCTCCTCCTACTTCCACGCATGGGGTACAGGCCCATGTTGGTTCAGGAAGAATTACCGACTCATTCAACGGCAATGCTTAAGTGGCCCCAAGCCCAGACACTGGAGCACTGTACTTCAATGACATTAAAATGTGTCCTGAGAAAAAGCGTTAGGACCCACTTTGAGAAAAAGGGGAAACTGAACAGGTAGGCTCTGGGGGCTCCACCCTGTGCCTCAATTAGAGCAATTCCTGCTTTACGGGTTCTAAGAAAAAGGGATTTTGAAGACAGAGAGAGAGAGAGCTGGAGAGAGAGAGAGAGAGATGGAGAGACCCAAACACCTGGACACCCAGAAAATAAAAAGCCTCAGTAAATTATTCTGCTAGAACAGAGGTTAGTAAACTACTGCCCAAGGGCCAAATCCAGCTACCTCTTTGTAAATAGCTTTATGGGAACGCGGTCACATTTGTTGGTTTATGTATCACCTCTGGCTGCTTCTACGTCACAATGGCAGAGTGGAACAGCTGGGACACAGACCATATGGCTCACAATGTCTGAAATATTCATCATCTGGCCTTGTATGGAAAAAGTCTGCCATCCCTTATCCTAGAATCAGCCCTTCTTTTTCTCTCTTTTTCCTAAGTTGGCCGTACCAGATATTCAAAGCTCGGTCCTTCCACTCCTCCCTTGTGTCCCTTCCTTATAAATGCCTTCAACCTGCTCACTGGGACGGCCACCTTAGACATTCATCACTAGTAACCATGGGCGTGATACATGGTTCTTGAACTTCAGACTTCACCAGCATCACCTGGAGGACTTAGGACAGGGATGGCGAGGCCTCATTGCCAGACTTTCATTCAGTAGGTGGGGGCTGGGAATTTTTGGTTCTAATGAGTTCCTGAGACTCTGCTTTGAGAACTTCTAACATTCAAACCACCCTTTCCTCTGAAGAGAAGTCAAAATGATGGGTAGGACCTAAGAAACACCTTTTTAAAGCCTCAGTGAACCCAAATACTGGACACTCTGCCCAACCTCTTCCGACCATGTTCAGTCAGCTTGTGATATTCCCAGAGCAACTAGTACTTCCGCTGAATGACACTTAATACAGTTCCTTGTTCAGGGTCTCCCCAGGGCAGCCTTCATCACGATATCGTTAGCACAGTGCCCAGCACCTAGCTAACTAGTAGGAGAGGCACAACCACGGGGATATTGCCGAGTCCATGAAGACAGGAGCCCTAACTGAGGACTTGGCTATAGAAGATGGAGCAATGACCAGATGCAGCCACAGGACAAAGTCGTACCAAGTCTTGACTTAGGGTGCCAACCTCTCATCAACACTGATACAAAGAACTTCACTCACCAGAATTAGGAACATGCATACTGTTTAGAAAGAAATGGAACAAACATAAGCCCTCATGCCTAGGCTAACCCTTTGTTCCACAAGCAAAAGCTTTGTTGTGGCCCAAACTCCCTCCCTTAAAAGTAGGAAGGTCATTTTAATGGGGCTCTCCACTCTGCAGGTAGGTAGGTCATGCTGTCCTTCCGGATACAGACATCCCCCCAATTTAGGATGGTTCAACTTATGATTTTTTTTCTAACTTTACAATGGTGCAAAAATGATATGCATTCAGTAGACACTGTACTTGGAATTTTGCTTCTGTTTTTTTAAAGATTTTATTTATTTATTTGACAGAGAGAGACACAGCGAGAGAGGGAACACAAGCAGGGAGAGTGGGAGAGGGAGAAGCAGGCTTCCCGCGGAGCAAGGAACCCGACGTTCGGGCTTTTAGGACAGGGATCGAGCAGTGGCTCAATCCCAGGACCCTGGGATCATGACCTGAGCCGAAGGCAGACGCTTAACAACTGAGCCCCCCAGGCGCCCCTGTACTTGGAATTTTGAATTTGAATCCCTGGGCCAGGGATATGTGGGAGGATCCTGTCTCATGATGCCGGGCACTGGTAGTGAGCTGCAACTCCCAGTCAGCCCCACAATCACGAAGGTCAACAACCATCTTACAACTATCCCGGACCCAACCACCCTTCTGTTTTTCACCTTCAGTACAGTATTCAATAATTTACAGGAGATATTCAACACTTCATTATAAAGTAGACTGTTAGAGGATTTTGCCCAGGTGTAGGTTCATGTGAGTGTTCTAAGCATATTTAAGGTAGGTTAGGCTAAACTAAGATGTTCATTAGTTTAGGTGTATTAATTAAATGCATTCTCAACTTGTAATGGGTTTATCATTACATAACCCCCTCATAAGTCAAGAGGGATCTATACTTGGATCGCATAGAGGGGTAGTTAAGGGTCAAGAGAGATTCCTGTGGTTTTGCCTTTCAAAAAGTGGTGCCTATCATCTCTGTTGGTCCTGGGGAGTGCTGGTGGGAAGGTCACAATGGTGGACAAGATCTCTTTTCAATGGGCAAGAAGTTATCGATGGGGGGGGGCGGGTCTGCTTTCTTCCAGAGCTGGGTTCTCACATATTAAAGGTCTTGTCTTGTGTCAATTTAATAACAAAATCAAAGATGTCACAGCTCCATAGTATCCACTGGACCAGCACATGGCCCCAGAATTTAAGCAGTAATTAGGGGCACTGCTGGACTCCTTGCCCTGGAAGTCCTTGATGTTACCAAAGTTCCACGATTCTGCCCCATCTACCCAGCTCTCAGCCAGGGACTCTAGGACCAAAGAAAATAGCAATCAGGATCATGTAGGGAAACCGGAGGCCAGTGCGGCCCAACAAGCCATTGGAGGAGAAAGACTGCTTACAGCAGATAGAATGAGGACCTCTCAGACAGGCTTATGGAACAACAAATAGGTGCCAAGGCAAGTACCTGAAAGAAGTGTATTTTCTTGGCAGAATGTATTTTCTAATAAGGAAGGAAGTATGTGTTGGGGCGCCTGGGGGGCTCAGTCTGCCTGAGTTAAGCGTCTGCCTTTGGCTCAGGTCATGATCCCAGGGTCCTGGGATCGAGCCCCGCATCGGGCTCCCTGTTCGGCGGGAAGCCTGCTTCTCCCTCTCCCACTCCCCCTGCTTGTGTTCCCTCTCTCGCTGTGTCTCTCTCTGTCAAATAAATAAATAAAATCTTTAAAAAAAAAAAAAAAAGGAAGTATGTGGCAAGGCCAGGAGGAAACCTGGCAGTTAGGCCTCTGCCAAGACTTGTCTTTGCTATAGGAAAAGTCTATTGTGAAAGACGTTGGCCCACAAAGGCAATAATGTCCCTAAATTGTACTGGGGTATACCAACCCTTTCCTCAAGTCCTCTTGTACGTACCTTTGGTTTCAGTATTCCCCAGCTTCCAACCATCTACCTGTTAAGTCACACTCAGGGACCTTCTAGAACAGCTAGAAGCAGTGTCTCAGAGCCAGCTCAGCAGACAGCAATAGCCCTCTGAAAAGGCTGGCAAATAGTAGAAGCTGAGAAGGAGTGAACACAGGAAATGAGCTGGGAACAAGCTGGTCTCCTGTTTGTTTGCAATGCCAGTACATGGGTATACCCTTTACAGCAGGAAATTTTTTATGTCAATTTTCCTAGTACCCTACAAGCTCTTGTAGCTCTGTCTTGCCCTCCAACCTTCCCTCCCTCTGCCATGTACCAGCCTCCCCTGGTGTCCCAGTCCTCTGACCTAATTCAGATATTTCCTTCTTATTATGGTAAGTAGGATAAGGATTGCAGAGTCTCCTCTATGTGCTTGGGAAGCAAGGTGTTGGGAAGAGAGACCCCTCAACACAAGTTGCAAAACTGAAATCTCAGGTAAAAGCAGGCTTGAAGAGCTTAGGTTATATTTTAGAGTTCCTACTCACCAATTGTAGCATGTTGCAAGAATTATCTTCCTGTCTGGGCATCAGTTTCTCCATATGTTAGATAGGAAGATGCCTCAATTCAAGGTGAGAAAACTGAAGATTAATGAAGATGAGTCACTTCCATGGTCCCACAGGAGAGCCAGGATTTTAAACCTCAGACCTCCCACTTGAGTCCAGAACTTCTGGGAACAAGCGTAAGTTGGCTGAAAACCAGTCCTTGAATGGACAGCAGCTGGGCTTCATGTCACAACGCCCAGGAGATCTCAATTTCTGGAGTTGGATTAACTTCATCCAACAACTTTGTCCTCCTCTATTGTTCGTGACTCAAATTCCCCGGGCAGAAGCTAATAAATACTCTGGATGTGGTTACCTTAGACTTGCATTTCTCAGAGGATCACTTTTCAAATACAGTGTCCAAAACACAAAATCCAAACACATGAACAAAGAGCATGAGGTAAGACCAGTGCAGACAACAGAAAGACTAACTAGACTCCAGCTACTAATGGTAGACTGTAAAATAATCACTTTTCTGTTCAAGGAGATAAAAACCCAAGTCTGAAAATTGGCAGATTGGAAATTGTTTTCTTTCAAATCTGTCCTTTTGATAATCCATTCTAGAGGGTAAAATGCAATGACCAAAAGTGAAAATCCTCACTGGAAGGGTTTATTCTCATATTAGATAAACGTAAAGAGAAAATTAGTGACCCAGAAGAAGAGGCTGAAGAAACTTTCTAGAATGTGACATGAAGACACAAAAGAAAGTTAAGAGAAGATATGAGAAAATCTAAAATATACATATACATATTCATCTGGAGTCCCAAAGGAAGAGAAAAATGGAGCAGAATCAATCTGAATAAGATGTTTTATCAGTGCCAAATAATCAGACACCAAAGCATGGATTCAAGAAGCCCAACCAATGCAAATTAGAATAAAGAAATCTACATATATACATACATATATGTACATACATATATATTTAGGATAATACATGTATATATATATATGTCATCTACAAAAAGCAAACATCTCAAAAGCAGCCAAGAAAAAAAAAATTACCCTTAAAGGAATAACAGACCAGAAGCTGACTTCAGCCAACAGGGGAAACCTGAAACAATGAAATGTTATTTTCAATATACAGAAAGAAAATAGCTCCCAACCTAGAAACCTGTAGCCATCAAAGCATCAATACTTCATTAGGCAGTACCAATTCCTCCCCATAGAGGAACTGGAGTTGTGTGGAGAATACTACTAATCTGCACAAGTAGGTTTGCCTTTAAAAACTTCAAAGACAACTGAGTGAAAGAAACCAGACACAGTACATATTGTACAGTTCTACTTATAGAACTAGCAAAAGTAATCAAGAGTGATAAAAATCAGAACAGTGGTTGCCCGGGGAGAGAGTTGGGAAACTGACTATAATGGGGTGCAGGGAACTTTCTGGGGAGATGACGTGATCTAGAACTTAATGAGGTGGTGGTTACATGGCCATAACCATTTGTCATAGTTCAAACTGTACACTTAGGAATTTTACTATATTTAGGAACTGGGTTTTTTAAATGCAGCTGTAGCTAACTTAAAACTGTTAGGATATGAATAGCAAAGTGAAGCTTGTTTCCAATGCTAGCCCATCGAGTGGGAAGACCAATACGGGGGCAGGTGCCAAGTACACAGGAGCATATTTACAGAATTATCTATAGTAGAAAAAAAACGAAGAGCCAATTCACACACACACACACACAAAAAGGCACATATAGAAAATGTTTAAGTCTGGATGAAATTGACAATTTAGCTTAAAAATGTAGTTTATTAATCCTAATTCCAGATGAGAAAGTCGAAACAATTTACATAGAAGTTATCAAAGAACTGATTCCCTAAAAAAGTACCGGTCCCAGACAGTCTCATCAGAAACTCTACATTATTGCAGTGCTATTTAAACTATTCTAGAGAAAAGGAAATATACCCACATTTTATAATTAAACAATAACGGATTTGATAAAGTTCATAGTTTATAGTTAATAGATCCTAGTGGGATAAAAATCACTTGATCTATAGACACTAAAAAGACATCTGACAAAATCAGACACCCATTCTTGACTTAGACAATAGGATGAATGGATACCTTTTTTTTTTTTTAAGATTTTATTTATTTATTTGACAGAGAGAGACACAGCGAGAGAGGGAACACAAGCAGGGGGAGTGGGAGAGGGAGAAGCAGGCTTCCTGCCAAGAAGGGAGCCCGATGCGGGGCTCGATCCCAGGACCCTGGGATCATGACCTGAGCCGGAGGCAGACGCTTAACCGACTGAGCCACCCAGGCGCCCTGAATGGATACCTCTTTAACATCAGACACATCTCAGCCAAAAAGCCAGCCTCCTATTCAATCGGCAAACTCTGAAAGGTTGGAAATCCTGAACAAAAGAAAAGGCTACCCACTGTCACTGTTAAACATCTAACATGGTACCAGGGGTCTCAGCTGAGAATATTAGGCAAGGAAAGAAACTAGAGTTAGAACAAGGGAATTTGGAGGTCTGCTATCTACAGATTACTACTCTCTGCCTGGAAGACACTAGAGAATTGGCAGATGATCTACAAGAGAATTTAGTGTAGTTATAGAATGGAGGCCCAACCCATGTTTCTGTAAATACAGTTTTATGGGAACACAGCCACACCTCTGTTGCACATATATGCCAACCAGACTTTGGTAGTAAACACTAGACCGGTACTTTCAACCCCGGGTCACTTACCTAGTGAGTGCGCCTAACAACTGCCCAGCAGCCCCAGCCCCAGCCCCATGCAGCATTTCATCCTAACTGCTAGGAAGTAAGAATTAGTCCCAGCCTTCAGAAGGACCAACTAAGGGCATAATTTATTACAGTCCACTGAATTTAATAAGGCCCCCCAATATATCCAGAATAGGTATGAATGGTGTAAGCTGTTTGGGGGGACACATGACCCTCCAAAACTCCAATATGATCAATGACAGCTAACACTGCTTGAGCACTGCCTTGAACCAGGCTCTGGTCTGGGTGATTTAATCCTCAAAACGACTGTTAGGAGAGTACCGCCATTAGCCTCACTTTACAGATGAGAAAACAGAGGCCCCAAAGAAGGAGATGACTCACACAAGTAGGATGGGAAAGGGGAGCTTTAACCCCAAGCCTGCTAACCCCAGGCTCCAACTGCCCTCTTAACCATCCCTCCTCAAGGCCTCTTCCTGGAAAGCTGCACATACCTTCAAAGTTTGGCGTTCACTTGTGGGAATCCAGAAGCCCCCTACCCCACCAGGGGGCTCAGGAGCCCCAGCTGAAGCCCCAAAGCCCCTCTCCCGCTCCACATGCCGCGGCTCCCCTGTCCCCACTATCCCACATTTACCTTTGTCTCTATTTCCACTCATCTCTTCTCCAGTCTAAAATCCCTATTGTGCCTGATGAAACTACCCTTGATCATCAGGGCTCAGAGACCTCTCCACCACCCTCCGCCTCTCACTAAGCTTGCTTACGGCTTTGGGCACCCATGCTCTGCTTTTAAGTACAAGGTGGTTTCCAGGGCAATAATAAGAGCCACCTTTTCCTTCCCAAGGGGATCTCCCCAAGCATTCTCTATTACCTAAAAGGGCCTTTCTTTGCGTCTACAGAGAAAGGCTCAGCGACACCCAAACATGGAAGGGCCATCCATTGGAGCCAAGGTTCTCAAACTTTGGAGGCATTGGCACCACCTGGAGAGCTTCTAAAGAGCAAGAGGCTCTAGGAATAGCTACTGCCTGGGCCCCTGTAATAGCTCAAGGCTGCCAGGTGATTCAAATACTACCGGCATTTGAGAACCACTGGAGCAATCAAATCTCAATTAAAGAACAAATGAGCTACTAGCTTTCCCCACTTCTGGAGAGGCCATGATTGAGAACAAGGTGAAGTGGGTTAACCTAGGGCAGGAAGGACAACTTGACAAGGACACCCTGGAATGAGTGCCAGAAAGATTGGTCCCAATCCCCCCAGCCTTACCTGACTGCATCCTTCTTGCCAGGTCTTGCTGGTCTCCAGTGATTCCCTGGTTAAAGGGGGAGGTCATGAAACCTACCTCATGGAGGGTGGTGGGAAGGCTAAATGGGAGGATGGTAGGGTAGGTAGAACTACCACATAACTCTTTGTGTGGGCTTATCGCTTTCATCCTGGGCAGCTCTGTCCCACTTTCCCTGAGGGTCAACAAACAGAAACAAGGCCAAAAGCAGCCTGTGGTCTGAAAATGCCCTGCCTTGTGACTCTTCTCCAACTTCAGTGGGTGTTTGTCTAATGCACAGATGCCTGGGCTCCACCAAGGGATTTCAACTCGGTAGGTCTGTAATTGGGCATAGTAGCCTACATTCTAAAACAAGCATGGCAGGTGATGATGGACTACTCTTGGAGAGACGTTGCCCTAGCGGACTCCACGTGAGAGGAAGTTTGAGCTGTGGGTGGGCACCTTATCCCAGAGGGTTAGGACCTCATGTATCCCCCAGCCTGGCCTGTACTGACGGCCCATCCCTTCTGTCATTTATCTGTTCACTCCCCATTCATTAAAGCACAAAACTAGAACCAATTCACCGGGTACTTATTATGTACCCATACTACATGTGTTAGACCCTGTGTTAGACTGTGTTAGACCCCGAGACTCTCAGAATGAAAGAGAAGGTCCCTGGCCTCAAGGAGCCCCAGAACACCTCCCAGTGGAAAAGTCTGATCACATCTTTCCTGTGCTCAAGATCCTCCCATGGCTCCCCTTCACCCTACAGGGGTTATAAAGTCAAATATCTTCAGGGACACAACAGTAACAAATGCACAAAGCTGGCTTAAGGCAAAGGGTAGATTGGGGGCATTGGCTAAATGCAGCCGGCATAACCTCCCTACGTGCATCAAATTAAAAAAAAAAAAAAAAAAAGTAAGCACTGTGAGCATGGTTTGACCAGATTCTGTCAGAGCTCCAGCCATCAGTCTGCAACATCACAATCCAAACTCATTCATGTGGCATATCAGACTCTAGAATCATCAATCACAGATTACCTCCCTAATCTCATTCTTTGCACACCCCTCCCACTCCCACTGCCTGCGACAAGCCCAAACACTGACCCTCCTTAACTCTCCCAGAACACCATGACCTCTCATTCCTCCTTTGTACCTACTGTTCCCTGCAATCAGAAAGCCCTTTCACAGACTCACCTGGTCGGCAGACCTCGGCTTCTCCTTCAGGTCTACACATGCGTGTCACCTCCTCCAAGGAATCTTCCCTCCCTGACTCCCCAGGTAGGTTGAGGAGCCCATGCCCTATATCCCCACGCATTTTGCCCAAACAGAGGGTAAAAAGCACATAAGCCAGGCAGCATGCCTCAGGGCCTTTGCTCCAGCTGGGCCTGCACTGCCCTGCCCCTAAAACCCTGTTGGCTCACTCTCTCACCTCCTTGTCCCTGCTCAGATGTCACCTTCTCTCAGCGGCCTAGTATGACCACCAACTTCATTTCACAAGCCGCGTCCACCCTTACCACACCGTGGTGCCTCCTCCCCCATTCTACCTGCCATTTTTTACAGCACTTTTCCCCTCCAAACGTACCATATACGTTATTATTCATTATATGCATTGTTTCTTTTCAGTCCCCCTTCTAAAACATAAACTCCGTGAAGGCAAAGGTCTTCAGTTGTTTTGTTTACTGATGTTTCTCAAATGCAAAGAACCATGCTTGGCCCTTAGGGAAGCTCAGTAACATTTGTGGATGAATGAATGGATGGATGGGTGGATGGATGGTTGGATGGATGGATGGATGGATGGATGGATGGATGGATAAAGGAGTGGATGGATGGATGAGTACCATAATGCAATTGTCTAAGGTCTGGCTCCCCCTCTGCACTTAGGCTTCTCAGGTTCTGCCATAGTTCCAAGGCACGGGGGTCGGGGGGAGGCTGGTTCTTGGTTATTGTTTGTTCAATGTTCTTGGCAACTTATCAGTAATTGAGGCGGGATTGAGGGAATCAATTAACTGTAGGCACCAGGTGAATGTTGACGGTGGACTGAAGACTTGCCCAGAGGAAAACCCTCATCGCCCACAACTTGCCACAGCTGGAGCCCCTCTCCTGTGCCCTCCTCCTCCGACCACAGCAGCTGTAACCAGGACTCGCCAAGAGGGGGCACTAAGCCCTTATTTTCCTTCCTGGCACGGAAAACAGGGCCACCACCTCCACAGCAGCAGCGAAGCTGGGGTGAGAGGACAAGGAAAGGTGGGCTATGGGCCGTGCCCTCCGAGAGCAGCCAGGCCCCGTGCACGTAGTGTGCGCCCGTGAAGCCTGGGTACCGAGCCAGGGGCGGGCCACACAACCCATTTGAACCCACCGCAGCCCTGTGCTCCGAGGCTCGCCTGGGGTCTCCAGCTTGCAGACAGGAACCCCGGGCTCAGAGAGGTGGGGTGCCCTGGCCAATGTCACACGACTAGAAAACATCAGTGGTAGGATTAGAATCCAGATGTGGGGAGCCCTGTTTTTCCCTCCCTCCACTCCTCCTCCCCAGCTCCTTTTGGCATCTCTGTTCCAGAAGCAAAGGCAAGATTCCAAGTCCAGTGTCTGGCTTGGCCTAACTTAGAGGGCCCTGGGGTTCTTTTTCCAGGTTGGGAAAGCGAGGAGGAAGGCAGTGGGAGGTGGGGGAAAGGCAGAGCTCCTCCCCCAAGCACCGGACCCAGCTGCCCTGACCCCCACCACCTCTGGGCTGGGATCACTCTTGTTCCCTTGATTTCAGTCCCCCCAAGTTCCCAAGGAGCCACTTGGCCACATGCAGATCCAGTTCAGAGAGAGGAGCCTGGCAGGCACAAAGAGGAGGGCAGGAGGGGGAGGAGACTGCAAATGGTCCCCGGACCCCTGACAGTGATGAAACACAGTCTCAGAAGGTTTGAGAAGACTTTGGCCTATGCACCCTTGTGGCCAGAACCCGGGAGTCTGCAATGAGAGGCTCTCTTTGCTGACATGGCCCAGAGGCCCACGTTCCGGGCTTCCCAACAATCCAGGGAGGAAAGTGTCCTTGGCCTCACCTTAAAAATGGGGAAACTGAGGCCCAGCAAGTTTTCCTCAACTTTGTCCAAGTTCATGCCGTTTGAATTGGCCTGACTCCAGGGATGTCTGAATCTAGGCCTAGTGTGTTCTCTTCCCAGATTCCTGGGCCACAGCACCTGGACCCTAACCGTCCTGGGAGGTTCGGCCCAGTCTCCAGGTCGTATGAGGTCACCTGGAGTAGGGAAACTGAGGAGGAGGAATGCCATGATGTTGGGGGCCGGTGGCTCTGGCCCACTCACCCCATCTTCCTCTGACAGGACCTGAGGCCAGTTCCCACATGGTTGCCTCCTGGGTCCTGTTCCCCAAAGGGCACACCTCCACAAAGCCCCGCTGACCGCTCCAGCTCCTCGGGGCAACAACGCCTGTCCAAGGTCCCAAGCAGCGGCTCACCTAGGTGTTCTGACCTTAGCGCTCCCCCCTGACTGCTTCATAAAGACCTCGAAGAGAGAAACTCTTTGCGTATACCTCCCTTTAGCCCATGGGGGCTGACCATACAGTAGGTGTCAAGTAACTGCTTTGTGTTTACTTGCTTACTATTTACATGGGAAAATACATCCAAACAGCAGCTCTCTGTTTCTGAGGAGTTTTTGAGGAACCTGGAAAACAACATTTGTGTCCTGTTGGACAACAGGGAGGAGCAAATTCACATGATTCATTCATTCAACAAATATTTTTTGGGCACCTGACAGGTGCTAGCCACTCTTCTAGGTGCTGGTAACACAGAAGGCAACAGAACAGATACGCCCCCCTGTGATTTACCTTCTCAAGCAGGTGACAGAAAATGAACAATATATGTAAATAAATCTAATTGGGTAAGTGCTGTGAAGAAGACCCAAGTTGGGGAGGGGATCCAGAGCAAGAGGGAATGCTATTTAGAGAGGGTAATTAGGCAAAGACCCACAGGGAGTGAGGGATCAATCCGTGTGGATCTCTGGGGGAACAGCGTGCAAAGGGACATGGGCTTCCAGGCAAAGGGAATGGCAAGTGCAAAGGCCCTGAGGTGGGAGCACATATTTGCTGTATTTAAGGGAAGGACCTCGTAAGGTTTTGTGAACCTTGTTAAGATCCTTGGGTTTTAATCTGAGCATGATGGGAAGACAGTAGAGCTCTTCCAGAGCTGGTATCTGAGTCACTAACTGCCTTGTAGAGCTGGCTGGGGGATCCCAAACCAGGAAGGGGACCTCCGGCTGTCTGAGGTTCCTTCCTGGCTTGGATTCACTTGTTCTCATTGCTAGCTTAGAACACCTTTGCTCCTTGAAAGCCCAAGGTCTTCATCCGGGGTTCCTGAAGCCCCCGGACCACATTCTCAACCAGGGGCTATGTTGTCAGAATCACCCAGGAAGCTTTTCCCCAAACCAGTGCCGAGTTCCACCTCTGCCTTTGCTGACCCAGAGTCTCCGGGGTGGGCCTGGGGATGAATGCCACTCGTTAGGAACCGCTGTCTACGAGGGGCTGTGGATGGGCCTCAGGGGGCCTCTCCTCCCACCCCACACTTTATCTCCACATACCTTTGGTGGGAAAGGGATGATCAAGATCACAGCTTTCATCAGACTCCCCCAAAGATCGAGATTCACATTCCAAGGCAAACAAAGCAGGTCTGCCAGGGAAAAACACAATGATAGCCCACAGCATGCTGGCTGCCCCCTTGGCCCTCCTGCTCCTTCCCTCCCCACCCACCCCCTCCTGCCAATGCCTTCCCCTCCGGCTCCTCGGGTTCCTTACTTTGCCTAGATTTCTTTGGATGGCAGCGCCCCCCTTCCTTCTAGCACTTAGTACGCCACCAGCATTCAATACCTCTTCAAACACGAATACGCTGTCCTCCCTGCCATAGCTGTGGCTCAGTGAAGTCGGCCTCTTCTGGGCCCTTTCTGTTTGCTTTTCCCCAAGGTCTTCCCGCTCTGGTCATCAAAGAGGAGTTTGTCCCAGTCACCCTTTTCTCCCCCTCCCTGGGGCTCAGTATCCCGCCTCGGGCACAAAGAAAAGGGTTTTGTTTCATGCTCCAGTGTCACCCACACTTCAAAGTGGAAGGGGCCCCCTTTGAGAGCCCAGGTCCTGGGAGGGAGACAGAGTGACCTTGGTCCTGGGTGTGCTGGCGGACAGCAGTGGGGTGACTGGGTGGCCTGGCTCCCTGGCGGGGGTGGGGGGGTGCGGTGCAGTCTGGCCTCGGCAGGCACTGAGCTCATCTGCCTGTTCTCTGGCCCCGTTTGCTGTGATGCCCTGAGAGGTCCCTTTCTCTGGATGGGGTATGGTGGGGTGTGATCTATAAGGAGCTATTGTCAGGGGTCTGGGGTTCAAGTCCCAGCTCAGCCACCTCCACCCTGTGTGGCTCTAAGTTATTAAGCATCTCTGGGCATCAGTTGCTCATCTGTGAAGACAGAAGGGAAGGAGGTTGAGGGGATTACAGGAAATAACGAATATAAGTTTGAGCCTCCCCCCTTCCAAATTCTGTCCAGCTATCCACCAGACCATTCTTCCGCCCGATTATTTAAACTTCCATTCTTTCAATCCATGGCTATTAAGACCCACTGCACGATCGCCAGTCTCCTGAGACTGAAGTTTTTACAAGGAATATTCCAGAGGGAGCCGACTCCTCCCAGCAGACCTGGGAGTCGATGAGCTGAGCTTCCACAGGACTCTTCCTTCCAGTCACACCACATGTGTGATATCCTTCCCACTGGGAAACTTCTAGGCAGGAAGTCCTCTTGTCCCCTGAAAGGCCTGCCCTGACTTGCTGAGCTTCTGTTGACCTGGGTCTCCCTCCATACCCAGACTCCCTGAAGCTGGTCCCTACACCTCCCTTCTTCCTAGGAATTCTTGGACAGGTACAAGGCTCTGGCATCCTTCATCCCACCAGCCCACTCTGCTAAGTTCCCCTCAGGGCCAGAGAGGGCTCCTTCCACCCCCTGAGCCCCTCAGAGAGCAGTTTCATCCTGCTCCAGCCACTGGTTTTTGGGCACATGTTTGAGGCACTTAGCAACATTATCACTCCCCGCCCACCCCCGCCCCCGCCGCCCCCCTCCTGCACACACACAGCCCTGGGCAGCGAGTAACACTGGTGGCCTCGATGAATGCCCCTGTGTAGTCCCCTCCTGTGCCAACTCTGGGCTTGGCCATGCCATGTGCTCTGGCTATTGGGACATTAGGCAGCATGATATAAGCAGGGGCATGACAAGTGCCCAGGCCCTGGGGCTCGTCCTCTTGGAAGGCTTGCCCTTAGAAGCCACGCCATGCTGTAAGGAAGCTCAGGCTAGCCTATGGAGTCAGGAGAGGCTATGCGGAGAGACAGCCTGGGCGGTGAGAGGCATCTTGCACGTTCCAGTCCCAGCCAGGAGCGCCTCTCTGATTTCAGCCCCATGAGTAATCTTGGCAATAATGTATGAAGCTGAAGAAACTACCCAACTGAGCCCCGTTAACCCACAGAATCATGAGAAATAATAAATCATCATTTTAAGCCAAAAATGCCAGGGATGATTTGTTACACAATGGTAGAAAACTGAAACAAACCCCAAGACCTGGATACTATTATTATTACCCCCATTTCACAGATGCTGAGGCTGAGCTTCAGGGAGCCTCGGTGTGTTTCCCAAGGTTTCACAGCGATAAGCGAGCATGGTGGCTGTGAGAAGGACCCCTTATCTCCTGTTGGGGGGCTTACTGGACTGACAGCCCCAGCTCCTGTCCGCCTGGACCAGTGCATTCCCCCTGTGGCCCATTTCTCCTCCCCCCAGGCTGCCCCCAGTCCATGGAGTACCAAGGAACCGGCCGGGGTCATTCCCGGGAGACGTGGGGGTTCCTCCATCAGTCTGCTTTGGCTCAAGGACTCCCCATCGGCCTGGCTGAGCCTTTCTTGGAATTGTGTTGCAATGCAAGACTCTTCTTGCCCCAACTCCCCTTCGTTCTCTCTTCTTTACCAGGATGGCACCACCTGAAGGCTCTCCCCCTGCTTCCGCTCCCTCCCCCTTATGCTTCACAGGTGTTTCCTCCAACAAATACGTTGTATCTTGAATCCCACTGTGGCGTCTGCTTCTCAGAAGACGTGGACTCACACAGGGATGAGTCTGAGACTCAAACCCTGGAACCTCAGCCGACACTTCCCTTTCTTTCCCTACTCTTTTTCTCTCTTTAAAAAGAGGCATCTTCAAAGGGCACGACTGTCCAGGCTTCAGATTTTCTAAGGCCACTGAAAAGGACAACTCCCAGGACAAGAAAAACAAGGTGGAGGAACCTCCTCAGACACGCCTGGGGAGCCTGACAGACACCCGGCTCTTCAGGAACTGACGTGACCTGGGAGCGTCCCCAGAAGGAAAGATGCTAACATTCATTTTCTTCTCTGCCCCAGTCTCTTTACACAGCATCTCACTGGATCCTCCCAAATGCCCATTAGGCCAGCATATGATCCCTACTTTACAGGTGAGGACGCAAGGCTCAGAGACGTGAAGCCGCTTGCCTCAAGTCACATAGCTACCAGGTGGCAGGGCTGAGATTTAAACCCGGGAAGCTGAGCAATCAGGTGCTTTCTAAGCCCTGGGGGTAAATCTCTGCGCTTTCACATGTTCCTGGAAGACTTTGGGCAAGTTCCTTGACTTCTTTGAGTCTCCACTGCCCCCCATATAAAACCTAGACACTAGCTGTCCCTTCTTCCTAGGGAGCTTATAGGCATAGAAAATAGGATCTGGTGCTAGAGGGTGTTCAGGACATACTAGCTCTGCTCTGCGCGGCCACCCCTGCCTCATTATACCTCCTCGCTCCATTCCACTGAAGACACAAATAAGGTAAGAAGCTTTTTTTAAAACCCCAAACCCAGGCTGATCACAACTGCACAAGACATCCAGGCCTGATTCATAATCTGGTGCTGCTTTCATTCCTATAAAAACAAACCATATCAACAACTGAAACCCTGATAAATTAGCAAGGAATGCACAAAAATTGAAGGCTTCAAGCCAGGACACCCCCCCACACACACACAAAAAAATCCGGATTCTTTCCCCATGAGGGGAGGTTTTCCACAGGGACACAGTCCCATGCTTTGGCTCAGGGACCACGCTGCTCTCTCCTTGAGAAAGCTCCTGGGGTAAAAATAGCCAAGCAGCAGCCAGTCCCTTCTGGGGCCCAGAGAAGAAAAGGGAGGGACAGGATGGGGGGGTCCTGGCTCCTGGACACCTGCCCATGTTCTTGAGAAACAGGGGGAGCGGGGCTCTGCAATTTGGGGTCTGAGCAGGAAAGAGGAGGGAGGAATGTCAGATCAGGACTCCACAAATTCGTCAAGCCAGAGAACCCTAAGGAAATACTGCTCAGGGAGTGAGAAGAGGAAGTATTGGGGGCTAGACTCTGATAAACCAGAAGGGGAGAGGCAGGCCGCAGGGCCTCCACGCAAGAAAGACAGGAGGAGCCCCTGAGTACATTAAAGACAAAACAAAACCACACCAAGGCCCAGGCGACCCTGACTTAAGTGTCTGAAAGGAACCCAGGCCCACGGAGCTGCTTCCAAGAGACCCATGTTCTGCAGTTGTCCTCTTGCCCTTACAGTCCCCACCCAAGGGACCCCGATTTAGACCCCATCCCTCTCCTTCCTAAGCAACACCTCGGCCAGCCCAAGGTCCAACACTCCTCTGGAGGGCCACCTCCCTGAGCCATCAGACCAGCTAGTAAGCAGAACAGGGGGCCCTAAGGCGCTGAGGGCCACAGACTCTTTCCAACTATAAGGAATCTTCAAAACTGGGCAGTTCTTTATTTAGGCCTCATAGTGCAGATGGGGCATCTGCAGTCCAAAGAGGGCAAGCAGTGCGTCCAAACCACATAGCAAGTGTCCCGAGCTGCCAGTGATCTCATCTGCCAGAATGTCATTCATCCAGCAAGAATGACTGAGCACCAGCTATGCCCCAGACACTGTCCTTGGGAAGTTGGCATACAAGGGCAGGAGCTGACCATTTTGTCAGGTGTACACAGAAAGCCTCTCTGTTCAGGTGACATTTGAGCAGAGACCTGCAGGCAGTAGGGGTGAGCCAAGAGGCTGACTGGCAGGGAATCATAAGTGAAAAGGCCCCGAGGCTTAATGTGTTCCAGGACCAGCAAGAGGCTCTATGGCTGGAGTAGAGGATTTGGAGATGAGGTCAGAGGGAACAGGAGGGCTCTGTCAGCCACTGGGAGGACGTAGGCTTCCCCCATGGGGCAGGAAGCCTTTTGCAGGGTTTTGAGCAAGACCTGATCCGATGTAGCATTGGAAAGGATCTCTCTGATTATAGTGGAAAAGATGCTATTGTAGAGGGTCAAGGTGGGACCAGAAAGGAGATATTGCATTACCCCCAGGGTGAGGTGGTGGTAATGTGGCTCTGGGTGGTCCTGTGAGGATGATACGAAGTGGCCGATTCTGGGTAGAGGTCAAGCCCACAGGGACAGGGGTGGGCTGGGAGGGTAAGAAAGGCCTCAAGGAGGACCCGTGAAAAGATCAAGTTGCCATTTACTGAGGTGGGGAGACCGTGGAACAAGTGTGTGGATCCAGCCTGAGGTCAGAACCCATTCCCTGACGGCCTCTCATCGGATCACCTGGTGCCTTGAGCCTGAACAGCCCACATGTGAGTTCAGCCCCCTGCTGTGTGGCCAAGAGCACAAGCCTAGGTCCAGGCTGTATGACAGGTCAGATTCCACGACCCCCAATTCACTC